GGGGTAGATGAGGAATGCTCCATGTGATCACGGCTTCTTGATGCTTTCATTATGGATCGTCATTACAAGTAAACGCTCGTCGTTAAACGCTAATTTGCGATTGTATGTACCGCAAGAAGGATATACGCTACCCATGCAAAACCGATTCCTTGAATGATTAACTCCTCCCCCCCCTACGCAAACCCAAACCCCTTCGCATTCTCCAGCGCCATACTCAGCTTCCTCCTCAGTGTCTCCCTATCCTTATACTCCGGTAGCAAAAGCGTCCCATAGCAGGTATAGCTCGTCGGCAGCCTCCCCCTTCCTACATGCCCCTCCGTGCCTTCCCCCTCTTCCTCCTCTGCCACATCCCCCTCTTCCCCCTCCCCATTCCTCTGCACTACAAACACTAGATTGCGCATCCCACCCACGGGCACGCGATCGCTAGCCGTCACAAACTCAAGGAGTCGCTTCTTCTCCTCCGTCCCAAAGCGGCGCACCACAGACCAAAAGTCCTTGATGGCGCGGTGATCGGCGTCCCAGCCGACGTAGCGCGCGTACCGCCGCAGCTCAGCAACATCGATGTCCTGCACGCCCTCGACGGTGGATTGGAGGAGAGAGGGCGTGAAGAGCGCGAGGGAGCGCGGCTCGAGACAGGTCAGGAAACCGCGCTGGAAGGCGCCGAATTGGGGGGCAACGGAGAGGGTAGCGAGGTGCGAGATGTAGTCGCTGACGTAGTCGTTGCGGTTCGAGGCGTCAACCATGGGCGCTTCGGCGGCCTCGGAGGCGAGCTCCGAGGAGATCTTGGTGTGGGAGAGGGAGGCGAATTGGGGCCAGGGTGAGGGGCTGGGCGCGGACATGTCGATGGAAACTGGGGCTCCGAAGACGTTGGCGCTGAACTCGTAGGTTCGGCAAAAGACATCAGAAACCAGGCCATCCTTCTCGTCCCACTCCAAGAGGGAGGTGAGGCCAGCAGCTAGCTCGGGCCAGCCATCTTCAATGTGGTGCAGTTCGGTGACAGGTTGGTTCAGGAGCTTTCGGTAGAGAACCTTGGGGAAGGTGACTGGGAGGGTCAATCCATTGTAGATGGCGAGACCAACCAGGAGGCCAATGAGTTCGAATTTCCACAACGGTTCCGGTGAGCTAGCTTGGAACCAGATCATCTTCGTCCGCTCATCAATCGTGAACGCGCCGTAATCCGGATTCAGTGCTTCTGCAATCGCCAGACGGAAGAACTCTTGCTGGACACCTCCAGAATCGGACCCTTCTTCGCCTGCTTCCTCGCCCAGCTTGATCTTTAGCGGTCTGAGCAGCTCTCTCTCCTCGCGTCTCCACAGCTTATCGAAAGCATCCACGAGAACATGGCTACGGCGAATTTGTAGAACCAGAAACTTCGACGTTGCGACACGGAGTTTCTCATTAAGATGATCCCTCCGGGCGGGGTCTGTGACAAGGCTCCATTGTGAAGAGTATGCGATCGTAGTAACACGGATACTCATAGTTCCGGCAGAGTCAAATGCGCTACTCATTCTTGAAAAGTTAATAGCCCTGAAATACGTAACAAGGCTGGCTTTACTGAAGAGGAACGGGTAGTCGAGGAGGTGAACAGACTTCCTATTAGGCGCAAATGTCAACCATTCGAGCGGCATCTCCGTGGAATCTAAGCGGTCCGCAAAGAATTCCGCGCGAAAGTTCTGCTCCGTGAGAAGAAGCGGTTTGCGCCTGTCATATATTGCCTTGACGAGCGCTAACGCTCCTCCAAACGCGCCATCAGCGGGAACGATTGCCGTCGCTTTCCAATCCTGCAGTATAACTGTTCGCGCCCAGTCGATGAGTATCGTTGCTGACCTCGTTTCATCGGGCAATCGCTGCGTGTCTGGTGAGGGCGGTGATCTCTCAATGTCAAATGATTCCAAGGACTCGAGAACATCATCCAAGATGTCAGTGCGCTGTACCAGCCCTACGCTCTCCCAGTTATTAAGCTGCTCCAGTTCCTGGAAACAACGCCTCGCAGAAATTGCTGCAAATAGTCGCCGAGCTAATCTGAGAGCCAACTCGTTGGAGAGAACATCATCGAGTCTGAGGGCATAATCTGATGCATACGGGTAGTGGCGAGTATAGGACAACCCTCTTCCCCGTGATAGAGATGCTGGGCGCGTGACGAATAAGTTTTGCGAGTATGGAGCAGCTGCAACCAAAGCATGTAGGCATATGATCATAATTTTTGAGGCCTCTTCCTTTGTCGTAGAGGAACCGGTGTGCGAGTCGCCGCCGAGTTGTTGGTTCCCTACATCTTGTATGTCTGAAAGCTGCCGAGGCATATCGTACAAGTCTGCAGCTACACTCCAAAGCCCATCGAATAGAACATCAAACGCAACCCTGCTTATGCGCGCTAGACAATATGTCAACGTTCTGCTATCCAAGAGAACATTTGATTCTGTTGAAAATGACCGGATTAGAGCTTTGCGGTCGCTAAGCACATAGAACAGGCTCTGTTCTGCAAAAATCTTCCAGGCCTTTGCTGTGTTTGGCTGCCGCTGGATCTTTAACTTTGGCGGACGGGACATTGCTTTACATAGCCTCGCCTCATCCATAGAAGATATGCCGCCTGTCTTGAAGTTGAGTATACCGTCAGCCAACAGGATATTGCAGATAAGTTCAATACTATCTACTGTCAATGTGCTGAGTGACTGCGGTAAATTCTCATCTTTTGGATTCTCCGATTCACTTGGTTGAGACTCTTGCCTGGCCTTCTCAGATGCGTTGAAGACTGACGCGCCCTTAGCCAGATCGCCTCCGAGTCCCAAACCAACCATACTAGTGACACCAGATGTCTTTGACGATGCCAGTTCGTTTCCTCTCGGTGCTGGCAGCGGAGTCTCTTGGGTTGCAAAAGTAGTAGCAGCTTTGATGCTTGGGGACAGGCCAATCCGAGACTTTTTTGACGATATGGAGCTGTGGCTATCACTCGATCTGCGGCGTTGCGACATACCATCTTCAGAAAACGAGCCTCTTCTGTGTAGTTTCACGGATTTGTCGTGTTCGCTAGAGTCGCGTCGTCTAACTTCGGGTAAGACAGCAGAATTCAAAGGCTTGAAAGCTGGCGGTGGCGGAGACGACGCCAGGTCACTGCGCCGACGATGTCTGTTGTGACCAGAAGTGGCACTTGTGGATTGCCTATCCGCACTTGTCCCATCATTTGTCGCAGTACCTGGTGTTCCGGATTTCGACTTATATCGTATGCTTTCCGATGCCGGCAACGACCCGAGTATATCGCCTTCTTGTAAAGTTGGGAGAGTTTGTTGTCCAACATTTTTCGGCTCGGTATCTCCTTGGGATGCCGCGGGCGGCGTTTCGGTCGGATTTGGCCCCGGATCACTCGAAAGGAAATTTCTCATGACCGTCAACGACGAGGCCAACGATCCAAAACTGGTAGGTGTCAACCATTCCAACATTTTCATGGCATCCGTGTTGAATACGTTTTGTACGAAGGACCTGGGGTCTATCTTCACCGATTGCTTGTCCAAATGTGAGCTCAATGATATGTCATCAACTTGGCCATCCTCACGACTTAGTATAAGTAGTGGCTTATCTCGCGTTACATCTGCGCCCGAGTTTTGCCCCTCGGAAGATGGTCGAGGGAGTCGTTCTGATTTTGCCCCGGAGCGCCTCCTGTTGGAGTCTTCTACCAGCAAGTCGACAGCTTCTCTTTCGAGGCCATCGTTGTCAACACTCTTTCTGGTATCGCCAGAGCGAGCTTTGGTATGTTGTGATGCGGGGGGGTTCCCAGGTTGTTTGGGTTCGGGGTATGCGTTCATGTGAGGGCAAAGCGCGGATTCGGGGTCGTCTTGGGTTGCTAAATGGCACGCCAGGGTCCTGGCACTGGTAGCATTGTATCTTCGAATAGGCTTTGCGCCAGCGACTCGTCTGCGATAGGTAAAGCAGGTAGCTGTCGTACAGTAAGGCACCCGACAGCCATATCGTATCTGGAGGATGAATCTATTCGAATCTATTAGTGATGCCGAACCAAATGGGCGGCGGGTCAATGCTTACCTCTCGACCAGGAGCTGGAAATTATAGCGCCTGCTGGCACGGTATATGCTATACACCCGCTGAGGATCCCTCACGTCGACAGCGTTCTCCAGGAGCTCCGGAGGCGCGTCGGGCGGCAGATGTGGAAAGGAAGGTGTCTGCGCTGTCCACAAGGCTGACAGTACCTGGGGGTCGACATTGAAGCCGTTGGCGGGCGTATCGCGAGTCATAACATGGATGTGAAGAGGATGGCCTGTGGAGGTCGAGCCTTCACCGGTGGCGATATGGATACGTTTGTAAGGATGTATGTATGTATGTACGAAGGATGAAGTTGGGGGGCTTCTATGATCGACGTTGGAGTAAGAGCTGTCAGGGCAAGACGAGGACAGCTCTTGGCAATTTTGGGCCACTCCACACCCGCAAGCACCGGCAATGGTTCCGGATCAATAATACTCTAGCTTCATCTCACTCCAAAGTCGATTCCAATGTACATACAATTATTATGTAGTGGTATGCAGAGTTGTCAGAACTTCAGCTTTAGCTTTAAGGGTTTCCAAGTCTTGAATTCTTCGCCTGGCTGTAAAATGTGCCAAGCCACCCGCGCCTCGCCATCGCCGCTTGTGGCCCTGACGCGCTTATCGCAACACACAATTATTCCCAATTATCGCCAGCATAAAAAAATTAAATACCCGAATTACCTGGTTTCTATTCACCCATTAGAATGACTTCATCCCTATTTACCTAAGCCAAGAATAATTATTCAGATCTCCAAGCCTTTACTCGTCCTATTAAACTAGCCCGGTAGGGCTGGCCGGCGGAGTCACTACTCAAAAACTTATTTTCTTCCTTTTCCTTCCCCTCCTTCGCCTTATCGATTTCAAAAAAAAAAAAAAAAAAGTTCAGCCTGACCCCGCAACCACATTTCCACAACCTCTTCAACCCACATACAACACACAAATAAACAATACACATTCTTGATATACGTCAAGATGGCGACCATGGCTGCAAGCCGTCCTTCAGCACCGGGCTTGGGTGCATCAGAGCCTCCCTCTTCTCACCCATACACCTGCAACACATGTCAAGTTGCTTTCCGCAACAGTGAGCTCCAGCGTGGGCACATGAGGAGCGATTGGCAGTAAGTTCCCTTCACTTTCCCCATCTTCCCATCTCAGTTTTCTAACGAAAACAGTCGGTACAACTTGAAGCGCCGTGTCACCTCTTTGCCACCCATCTCATCCGACGTCTTCGCCGAGAAGGTGGTCGCCGCCCAGGCGTCATCGACCGCCGCTGCCTCGAAGGCCGCATACGAGAAGACATGCGCGGCATGCGAGAAGACATACTTCAGCGAGAACTCCCTTTACAACCACGTAGGGAGCCAGAAGCACCTCAAGCAGGTTGCGATGCTCCGGAAGTCTAAGAACGGCGCCACTGCCGATGACGCGAGCTCCGTTGTTAGCTCGCAGGTTACTGCCACCGCGGAAACCGAAACCTCGTCCGAAGAAGAATCGGAGGAAGATGAAGACGAGGAAGAAGTTGCCGAAGTTACAAAAGACTTGAAGGAGACATCTTTGAACGGTGAGACCGGGGAGAAGTCGGAGGACGCCGGACCAAAGAAGATCGAGGTCCCGTTAATGCGCTGCCTCTTCTGCAACTACGACTCCCCAACCGTTCTGTTGAACGTAAACCACATGGAGAAAATCCACAACATGTTCATCCCAGAACGTAACTACTTGGTGGATTTGGATGGATTGATTGCCTCTTTGTTCGAGAAGATCAACATATTACAAGAGTGTCTTACCTGCAGCAGGTATAAGCCGAACGTATTCGGTTTACAAACGCACATGCGCGATAAGGGCCACTGCACAATACCCTTTGGCACCGAGGATGAGCAGCTTGAGATTGGCGAGTTCTATGATTTCAGAAGCACATACTCTGATGAAGAGGATGATGAAGATGAGTTCGCGGACGAGGCTACCGATCGCAAGGCGGGCGGTGGTGTCAAACTTGGAGCCCGACGCACAGCTAAGAACGCCGATGGTGACGAGGAGATGGAGGATCCTGAGGGATGGGAGACTGATAGTTCAACGTCTTCTTTGGATTCCGATGACCTTACAGCCGTGCCCCTCGCATCGCACGAGCACCGCTACGAGAAGTTGGATCGCCACCCACATCACTCTTCGGAAGATCCTAGGCCTCATAAGAACACTGATGGCTTCCACTCTCACGCTCATAAACACAGGCACGCGGCCTACTATTCCGACTACGAACTCCACCTTCCGTCTGGACGCGCTGTTGGACACAGATCCCTCGCTAGGTATTACAAACAGAACCTCCACAACCACCCATCTCCTGCAGAGCGTCAAGAGCAGTACTTGATCGAGGCCGCGAGGGGCTCGGATGACGAAGAGGAGGTCGACGAGAGAGTGGCGCGCCGCAGCGACAGGGAGCGTGGCAGAGCACTCAACACACGTGCGAACGGCGGTAGAGGCATGATGGGTGTTTCCGAGACGAAGAAGAAGGAGGTTGCTGTCCTTGAAAAGCGTGCTAGAAAGCAGGAGTTCTACGACCGCCAAAAGTTCAACTGGGGCAACAACAAGCAGAGCAACTCCCAAAAGCATTTCAGAGTAAGTTACCTTATTCAGCACTGTCATTTTTGCGGTTTGCTAACATTATATCCAGGATCCTCTCTTGCAATGATTCATCGTTTTCTTCCAGGCATGGCAAAAGGGAGCATGCCAAGGTGGGGTGGGGATGGGTTTGGCATATCTGCCAACTTTGTGAGTTTCTAAATCGGTTCACTCGATCGTCTTCACTACTTCACGGCATAACAAGAATTTCTATCCTTGCCCAAGCCTCCAACGATTTGTCTTGTCTCGGGTGGTGATTACTGTGCCTGGCCTGTGTGATGACCAAACCTGCAGGACAAAAAGCCAAGAAAAAATAAATCCATGCGTAGCTGAACTTCTCGATCCAGTAGAGGTAGTAAAAGTATGTGTTGAGTGGAGTATTTGCTCCCCGAAAAATGTGAACTGTAACCTGCATGCTCATTAGCATTATTTCCCCCAAAGCGAGCGTCTGTCAAACAATTGGGGTTTAAGTCCGAACTACTTAATCCGCTGGACCCGCTCACTCGTCCAATCAACGCTAAGTCGCAATTATCCCCGAATGCACGTCCCCTATCATTCGCATCTTCCCGAAAGATCTTCCCAACCTAAACTTTCTCCATACTGTGCTGTTCCTCCTATTCACCTCTTCAGCGTGCCCACTGCCGATCTTTCGCTGACGCATCTTCTTTTTCTTTTCTGCCCCTTTTTATACCTCGTTTATTAAATACAACAGCGAACCCACAGATGCTCAACGGAGGCCTCCTACATCTCAGTGCGTAATGGCCGAGCAAATCTCCACTCCAGGGTCCGCCGCCGACTCCTCCATCTCCAAACCTGCAGCCAACCCCAACAACGCCCCTAAGGACAGGTCGTGTCCCTTCTGCCAGCAGCCCTTCACCTCCTCATCTCTCGGCCGACATCTCGACCTTTACATCAAAGAGAAGAACCCCAAACCTGCAGATGGCGTCCACGATGTCGACGAGATCCGAAAGATGCGCGGCACCATCACGCGCCGACAGCCCCGCAACAGCACTTCACGGCGCGACAGTACTCCCGCCGGGACCCCTCGCGGGGGGGCGAGCGGAAGCCCACATACAAATGGCACGCCGATGCAGAGCCCAAGCATGGTGACGAGGCAGCCGATGGTAGATCATAAGGGGAAGGTTAAGACGACCCTGAATGCTGCGACTTGGCATAGCACAGGGGTTATTAACAATATCCCGCTTGTGAATCAGCGGAATGACTTGAATAGCGGCGAGGGTAGTGATAGGGAGGGAAAGCGCTTCCCAAATAGACACATGCTAGCAAAGAGCACATTTGATCAGAAGCAGAAGATGGTAGAGGCACTAGATAACGCCCGGGCAGCGGAATTGGCACTTCGTGAGATTCTAGGAAGCATCAGGGCTGCTGTGTAAGTTCCAAGTTTACCCACGTCTATGACACCGAACTAACTTATATCCCAGCGCAACGGTTCAACCACACGAGTCGCCGTTCGACTTCGACCCTCTTTCCCTTGACTTCCCGACACTCTGCCTTACCTGCCTCCCTCCGCCCCCAACAATCAACCAGCTCACACCGCTCTCCTCCGTCTCGACCTCCTGGACCATCACACCTCCCGTCGAACCCCAATACGACTCCCTAACGAACTTCTTCCGCGATGCCTTCCACCACACCAGAGTCACCCGTGCCATAAACAACGCCAAACCCCCCCACCCCGACGACGTCCTCTACGCCCACCACGCCAGCCCCGCCATGCAAGCCTCTCTCAACGCCAGCGCCCAAGAATTCGAAGACAAAGTAAACGCCCACGTCCACGCCTCCTTCTCCTTCTGGATGTCCCTCCCGCCGCCCAACCGCGCCGAGCTCTGGAAACTCGAGCTCGCCCGCGCCGTGGGGCAGAAGGACCAGCAAATCACCTCGCTCAACGAGAAGCTCGAGGCTAGCGCACAGGAGAACCAGCATCTGCACCAGCAGGTCGAGTATCTCAGTCGCTGCCAGCAGCCTCGCGAGTTCCAGATGCGGCCACCGAGCACAATGCACATCAGCAAGCGCACGGCTGTCGAGTTGGCTGAGATGGGACTGCGCGGCGGCTCTGTCGGATGGAGTCTCAGCGATCCGGACGAGAACCTGCAGAAGCGTATTGAGTCTGCCGTTGGCCGCTGGCGCGAGGTCGTGCGTAGCAGTCGCGGTGGGGGGATGCAGGGGCAACGCAGCTTGAGTGGCCAGCTGCAGAATGGGCCGCCAGATGGGGCGGGCGACGATATGGACGTTGATGCTGATGGCGATGCGGATGCGGATGCGGATGCTGACGCGGATGAAGAGCACTACGCCGGTGCGCAGATCCAGGAGCAGCTATCACAGGGGTCGTCGCGAGCACCGGAGGCGCCGATGGGCGCGTATTCACATAACCCTGGCGCGGTGAGAAATGGTGGGGGAATGCAGATGCAGGGTGGTAATGGAGGGATGCAGATGCAGCAGGGGAATAATGGGGGCATGCAGATGCAACAGGGCTCTCATGGGGGTGCTGGACATGAGAATGCGAATGGGGGTGTGGGGAGGCGACAGGGGAATATGATTGCGGCGCAGAATGGACGTGCTGGGGGGAGAACGTACCCGCCATACTGAGGCGCCTCCGCTAGCTGTCGGTTCGAAGCACTTTGAAACAAGGGGGAGTAAGATAGAGGAAGAGTACTTCCGGCGAAGGCTTTTGAACATATATACCAGGACGGGAGTTTTCTTGGCATTGTTTCCTTAATTTTGGCCGGTTGAAAACAAGCGGGTTAGGGTTTTTGTATATCAGTGTGTTTTATTAACTTTTCGCATCTTTGGGCGATGGGCTTTTTGCGGGATATAAAATAGGACGCAAGGAGGATGGGATTGATTGGGCGATAACAGTCAGATCTCAACAGTCGATCGGAGGGTTGAGTGCTGGCTTTATATAGTACAGTACAGTATAAATACCTAATACACCCATATTACATATTACATTGGGCATCATCCCAAACTAAGCTATTATTTTGCAGTGATTTTATGCCAGTTCGTCAAGGACCTTTCTCAAGATGCCAGCTTCTATTGCATCCGGCTCTTCGAGCCATCGTGGTTCTTCAGGGGCGCCGGGAGTAGCTACGCGGAGGTAGAAAAGGGAGTGGTGGTGGGAAATGGAGCGGCGGTAAGAAACGGAATGATGGCAAGAAATGGAGTGGTAGTAAGAATCGGAGCGGGTGGCCAGGGTTAACTCCAAGTATGCTGTCAATTTCATCGTCGATGTGCATAGCTCTGCTCAGCTCGAATCCCGGCTCGCCATACATCTGCCGTAGCGGATGCGGATGCAATCATCGCATTGTCTCCGACATCAACGGTCGATAGCTCTGTGTTAATTGCAGCCCAATATTTGCTGAGGCTGAGGTAGTAAGCGCGGGAGACTTTGAGCGAAAGGGGGAATGGAGGCAGCCGCGAAAGACACTGCCTAGCAGTTGAGGGATATTGCTGCTGCTGCAAAGCGGGCAGACACTTCTGCGTCATCTAGAAGCTCCGGAATTTGAGTGATCAAACAACGGCAACATCCCCATGGGATACTATCTACATCGTTAGTGCAAACGAAGCCTGCAAATCCGATCTCTCATCTCATCACACGGAGCAGCTGCAAGCACCACTCCCCTTCTTACCATCGCATATCTTGCCACCCCTTTGTTTCTCACTATCCCCTTTCTTGCCATCGCCCCTCTTCGTCACCGTCACCCCCTCTCACCACTACTGCCTGCGTATGTTAAGCTGCCGTTCCCAAAACATACCATTACAGCCAATAATAAAATAATGATGTTGTTCATTGGGTTGACTGCGGATGATGACAGCAACCAAGTAAAGTATGCCCAGTTCCGATTGTGGCTAGGACATAGAATCCTGTTTAAATGTTAGGTTATGCTTTGCGAATGGTCGAGGCGGCGAACACAAGAAGACCAGTTCATTCAACCTCTGTCAAATCTTAGTTGGTCGTTTTCGCATCTGGGTCTTGAGAATTTACGCATCGTGTTCAAACAAGTAGACAACCCCAAAACAATTTGGATGAACACACATAAACTACCAATGATATGAATTGACTATTGTTCTATTGTTCTATCCCAGAGCCTGTCTATGGTGTTATCTATTCATCGCAGAAAACACAATTGCTCAAAAGCGCCGACACTGCCACTATCACACTCCCAATATCATATCCCAGAAACCTCAGTTTTTCAGCCCACCAATACTCGCATTCAACTCCCTCTCCTCATCCGCCGTCAACGGAATCTTGCTCCCAGCCCGCCTCTTAGAACTCTCCCCCGTCTCCACGAGAGTCTCTTGCTTCTCCCCCTCCCCAAACACATAAGAGCGCCACTCGGTATTCTCCCACCCCGTCCCCTTCACCTTGTGAAATCCCGTCCAATCCTCTGTTATAAAGTGCAAAACCCCCCCGTGCGTCACAACCGCGATATGGGCCTCCTGCCCCGTTCGCTCCTCATACTCCTGCCCTAGCTCCTGCAAAAAGCGCCGCGATACAGCCGCCCGCGCTTCGACCTTCTCCGGCGCAGGACTCCACGGACTCGAGGGACCCTTGACGTTCCACCCCTCCTCCACGCGCGAGAGGTCAATTTTCCCAGCCCATTGCCCGAGGCCGAAGTAGTGCTCGAGGACCTCGGGCGCGCTGCCAGTGTCACAGGGTGCATCGCTCGTCTCTTGCAGTTCTGGGAGGGCGAGGATTTTGAGGGACTTGGGGGGCTCGACTAGCGACGGGAAGGAGAGGAGGGCTGTGAGGATGGTGCGGCGCAGGGGGGAGGCGACGAGGTGTGTGATGCGCTCGGTGTGGGGGAAGGAGGCGGCGAGGGCGGCGCATTGGGATTCTCCGTGCTTTGTGAGGAGGGGGTCGGGCATGGAGTGGTTTGCCGCTGTGAGATTGTGGAACCCTTGCGCGTGGCGCACGAAGTACATAGTGGTAGGCACTACGGGGATCAGCGGGGGTTGGAGGGGGTCGTGGGAGGGTTAACTTACTGGTGAAGTGGCAACGTTTGAGGAGTATTAATTCAGCGAGACTTGCAACAGGAGAGTTGAGGGTATTATTTAAATTGAGGCGGAATATGTTGAGTAGTGCTCACCTGTGGCAACCCTGAAGGCATGACACAAGGTGGGGTTACAGGACGACAGTGGTCCGGGTAACGTAACCCCACCATGGATGAGAACTCATATAAATAAACAAAATATCATCAGAAACCTCAATAAAATTCCATGCAGAACAAAATAAATGATCACAACTAACTAACATCTAGCCGTGTGGCTTCAATGGCCAATAATAATTGACGAAATTAGGTCAACCGCTCGACCGACAATGTGAGCCCGCGTTATGACGTTATTTCCGACCATAACTATACATTACCAGCAAACAGCTTCATGTAGATAGCAACCTCGCTCCTTCCATTCATCTCCCTCTCTCGCGAAAATCGTAGAATCCAACCTTTGAGCTCTTATCAAATATCCTTTATACACTTTTCCACACCCCTCACAGCATCACTAAACCTCACCCCACCCCACCATGCGCCCGTCCCTCCACCTAGCCCGCTACGCCCGCCCATCTCCCCCGCACACGCGTGCAGTCCACATCCCACCATCCGTCAGATCGATCCTCAAGCCCATCATCAAGCCCATCATCAAGCCCGTGCCTCCCGAGGAGGAAACCCGCGATACAACCGGCGAGACGCACGAGTACACGCTATCGAGCGACGATCAGCGCACGGCGAAGGATAAGGAAAGCTTCGATCCGAAGGTTACGCGGCCGGAGCTTGAGAGGGAAGAGGCGGCGAGAGAGCACGAGGTGAGCTAGCTTACTCAATACTCCCCGGTTTTTGAGATGCTGCGAAGCTGTGCTTCTATTTGTATGAAAGAAGGATGCTGATCCGCATAGGCTGATCACAGTAATAACCCCCTCGAGTATTCGCCTGCGAATCGAGAAGTGTCGAAGCAGTGCCCTCAGACGGAAGACAGAGCAGAAGGTGCGCCGAAGGACAGGAGGCCCAGTTCTCAAGGGCACCCCAAGAAGGGGAAGGTGGTGCCGAAGGCTCCTGACGCAGGAAAGGGGTCGTGGACTAGATGGCTGGGATGATTTGAAGAGGCTTGAAATAGTGGAAACGGATGAGGGTTGGCTTGTCGCTGTATATTATTTGGGTATGGGGAATGCAAACCAGACTGACTTGAGTATGGACGGAGATTGTGGAAGTTTTGTCAGATTCATAGGATTGGCTAATCTAAGTCTCACCACGCAGAATCCAGACCCCGTCTCTCATAAACAACAGCTCTTCGCAAAAACAAGAAACTTTTGAAATGAAATTTCTCCAGCCATCCATAATGCACCACCCATAAACTCTGCCACAAAGTTCCATAGCATCCAGGTGTGAGATCTTCCAATCCCTTCGGCACACCTCATATCCGCGCAAAAAAGAAACCAAGTATAAAACAATTCTTGAAAGTAGCATTGCATACAACATCAATGTCGCCCTTTTGGCCATTAGACCGCGCTGGAAAATAGCGCCTGGATCTGAAGCTCATGAAAGTGGTCTGCAATTCGTTCGCCTCTGGTAGAGGCCGGAGCGTACTCTTCAGGATCTGAGTCGATCTCCAGGCCATCGAGAACCATAATATAGATATTTGGTATCCTAAACCCAGGGTTCAACTCATCAGCTTGCCATGCCAAAGCAGACATGAGAACATCTTTGGCTACAGGAGTGCGAAACTCTTCATCCTCATCTCTAGTGCTAATGAGCATCATCAGCCTCCGCAAATTCGTAAATTTCCAGATGGCGTCTCGAAAAACGCAGTCGTCGTTGATGAGCCAATCTCGTAGTTTGAGAGTCAAGGACTGAATGTTGGCGAAATCGACAGGAAGGAGGGATTGCATCATAGGGACAAAATAGCCCGAGCGGCGAGTGCAGAGGTAAACAGATGATGCCTCGTAATTGATATAAGTTCGCGGTGGAGATGTAACAGTCCCAAGTCCGAGTGAAAAGTATTTCAATGCCTCAACTCGTGATTCATTACAAGTATCGAGGAGAGGAGGATGTCGAGTGAAGCAGACATATTTTGCCGTAGGCTTTGTACTGCGCACATTCTTGAAGTGCTGGTGTACAATCGGAGAATATGGAAGGGCGAGACAAAAGCCCCATATCTTCAGACGAATTTCTGCGGGTAGAAGAGGAAACCGAACAAATTGCCCCTTGGCCTTCGTTGGAGGTGCCATTGGAACTATCGTTAAGCTCCTACCCATACGATATTAGTCCACATACCCAAACACCAAATAGTATATCTGACAAATCGAAATGCCCTTACCAAGCCCCGCAGTCATACTGGCTGGTCTTGGCACCGTGTCTTGGTGGCTTCGTATTTTGAAATCTTGGATCCTTAGATTTGTAGATCTGTTGCAACTTCGGATCGTGGACAAAGTCACATTTATCTCCATTCTCACAGTGGTATCTCCCGCCGTGGAATCGGGGGCAGTATCTCGTGAGCTTCGTATTGCACCGAGTGTTGTTGACAACGGGCTGCGAAATATTGCTACTGCCTGATTCAATCACCTCCTTTGCGGCAATGGGCTTCGTATTTGAGGCTTCGCGGCTGGTGATTGAAACGACTCGTGACGTGGATTTCTTTCCTGGTACCACGGATATGTTCCCGGATTTTTTGGCCTTCGGTGCTTTGCCAACAGCTTTATCAGTCCTGTCTCTGAAAACCGTAACAAGGCTAGTCTGAGATCCTCCCGAACTGTTCGTACGTGCGCGTGTGGCAACTTCTGCATCTCCAGTTGCAATATGCGCCGCAAAGTTCCCCCAAGCAGCTGCACCTTCGGATTTTGCTGGCGAGGGTGGTTTAATGGATGCATTTCTAACCACAACCTTCTTCTCAGCCAAGTTGCTTAGTTTCTTGGTTTCCTGAGTACATTTCTGGATTTCTTGAGAGAGATGACCCTTAGCATCGACCTTGTAGATATCCTGTGCGGAAACTTGGCGAAGCTTATACTCTCTCAACGTATCGCGAAGCTTGACATCATGGTTGAATCTACACCCTCCATCCGCCGTGCAAATGAACCCCAAAACAAAGTTTCTGCAGCTGTTCTTCATCACCTGCGCACGAAGACCTTCTTCGTGCTTGAATTTGCAATTATTGGGTCCAGCATTGCAGCGCGTGCCAAATAGATAGTTGAGGCACAGCGGTGCAGTGGTTCTAATGGCAACGGGAATGGCGGTGGTGATTGGATCCAGCACGTTGGGACGTTCCTGTGTATGTTTATGGTTTTCATTGCTGGAAGTCTCGGTCTTGTTCGAGCAAGCACCGTCCATGAATGGCATCGATCGGTACGATCGAACCCCATTCAATGTGTCTCGAAGGTCGATATCATGTCGATACTTGCACGTCTCAGCGTGGCAAGGCAATCCCAGAAGAAAGTTGAAGCAAATGTCGTTCGCGAATCTGGTGGCGTTGCGGAAAACTGTATCGTGGTAAAGTGTGCAGGTAGGCATTCGAGGACATTCGTGGCCCAGAGCAAACTCGAGGCATCTTGGTGCATTCGCAGGCGCCATGGACGAGCCATAAATCACCTCGGTAGCCTTTTGGGCCACCGTCATCTCCTTTCTATTCTTGTTATGAATGACCACGTCATGATAGAGCGTGCAAAATTTCCGATTGTGACAGAGCTGACCACTGTTATATTCCATGCAAGGTTGCATCATAGCAGTGTTGCGAAGCTCATTATCATGGTACCTATCGCATTCATTGCCATAGTAACATGGAAATCCGCGGATATAGTTTATGCATAACTCGGCTTTCATGGAGCCAGCTTTGGCCATTATTGTCCGTCCATAGCTAACAGACTCCTTTGGAACCTGGTGGCGAGAGTTGCTATTCTGGAGAACGCTATTCCAAGAATTTTCTGAGCTTATGCCTGTCTTCGCACCAGCCGGTGTATGAGCAGCTTCTATTAGCCCATTCGATGGCTTGGTCGCTGCCACTGCATTCGATACAACTGGGAAGGCTGGGCGGCTCAAGAGCCTGACGCCTGAAACTGCTTCCCCATATGAACTGCTCGTTACTGTGGCTTGTCGAGGCACAAACTTGGCGACAAATTCAACTCTGCTTTGAGAAGATGCCTCCTTTGCTCTGATGATGTTCTCCTCCTCAATAGCCTTGTCGTCGGCCGCAATGAATTTTGCCGCATTCAGCCAAGCATTGATGTGAGCCGAATTGTCGCGAACGGCAGCTGCCTGCGGGCTTTGATATTTCAGGACAGCCGGATTATTTCTGGAGGCATTGGGAAGGTTGCTCAAAGGAGCCTCGTGAATAATACCAAGGCCAAAGGCAGGTTGGCCTTGGCCCAAGGGAGATCCAGGCTTCATTGGACTAGTTTGACGATTTCCAAATGGCAGGCAAACCCGTGGCTTCTCAGAGCCGCTGTCGTATGCCGGATGACCGATACCGAGTGGTGTAGGAGTGTCAGCCGTATTAACACGGCGATGGATAAAACCCATGACTTTTGCGGTGATATTGATTGACTTCCGTGAAGTTCTAGATCTTTTGCTAGAGTTGGTTGAAATGGATAAGTTCTTGATGTCTCTCTCTCCCATAAACGCCCACATTTCATCGGTAATTCCCTCAGGCTTTACGCCCGCACCAGCTTCGAAAGGCAAAAATCCAGCAGTAGCTGCAATGCCACCCGCAATGCGGTCAATATTCTTTGTAACATGGACAGGCAACCTGCTGATAAAGGCCGGCGCGTTCTCTTTGGCTGCGGCGAGCAATTTGACATTTTGCTCACGAAGTGGAACAGTCCCAGTGCTGGAAGTGAGCATGTCAGTTTTGTATTTGAGAACTCCGTCCAGGTGGTCTTGGCCGACCATGGTGGTGCTCTCGGCGAGTCGTGGGATAAAAGACGCAGCAAACACTGCACGGTACTGATTCCACTCATTAAAGCTCAGCTTTCCCACAGCAGAATCGATGCTCGACGATTGACTCGCGTTTGAACTGCCGTTGGAGCTCTTGCGCAAATGCGGATGCACGTAGTCGGTGGGGGGAGTAGTGGCAGTGGAAGGCACGCTTGGCGAGGTATCGGAAGTTGAGGCAGTTTGTGATACTGTTGACTTCGTGAGAATTTGCTTTGGGGGGGCAGTTCCAGCTTTAGAAGGAACAGCAAGGCTGGATGATGTTAGCTTTGCTGTGTCGGACATCATCAATGCCTTGTGTGCTTCACTGCCAACTTTCTTCTCGTCTTGCTTCAAATTTTCCCAATTAATACGAGCTTCGTCATCGTGAAAGTATCTGCAGTTAGGGCTTTTGTGGCATGGACGACCCAATATATAATTCTTGCATATCTGTTGCCCAGGCTTCGGCTTTGTCTGCGGAGTCGAGTGGAGCTGTCGGGGTGGACCAGCATTTCGAGCCATAGACGAGGCTCTGTCAGATTGGCGACCCATTTTGGATCTATCTGCATGAGTAGAGAACATCGTGGCTCAGTAGGGTATATCTCACGATCAAATACTAGTGTTGATTATTCATCAGTGACTTATCAAAATAGAGTGAATGATCTTGGGGACTTACAGGAAGATGCAAATGTGATTCATTGCCAGGGTTAAATAACACTGGATGGAATCAAACTCGAGGAGAGAATGGGTATCTTGGTAGAAAGTCTTGGATAACACGCAAGAGAAGGCGAGGTATGTGAGATGGGTGTTGGTGTTTTCGGGAAGTGAATTTGAGTCGGAAACCAAATCTAGTTGACTATGTCAGTTATTGGTACATCTTCACGCTTTCGATTGAATAAAAACTTCAGAACGTACTTGATGATGTCCGAAAGAGTTGAGAAGACAAGTTGAGGACCAAGCTCGAGGGTTGTATGATGAGAAGCTGAAAACGCCGAAGTGAACTCAGTTTGTCGGAGTAGGTTTATTCGAAGATTCAGTGACCGAAAAGGTTTATGATAGAAGTGAAGTGTAAGATCAAAAAGGTTGAAAGAGAGGTATTCACAAAGTTGTTGGAAAGAGGTTGAAGAAGAAAAGGAGGAAGTGTGTGGGAGTGAAAGTGAAGTTTAAATTTATTCACGCGTAGGCAGCCGGGTTACAGGTTAACGCTTAACGTGCCAAATTGAAGTCAGGCGGCTGGGAAGAAGCGGCTGGAGGCGGCTGGGGGTCAAGAGTAAAGAGGCAGGAGCGTCAAGAGGCTCTAAGCCAAAAAATAGTCACTCCACAGAACAGAGCTGTTCGACCCAACACTTTTGGGTTAGTGCTCCCCTACCTCTATTCTCAATCTTGCCATGCTCCCACTGGGATAGCAAAATGATTATCCTGAATTCACAAGTAACTGTGTAATGCAACAGTCTCGTCAAGCACTATGCAGCTGATCAAAACATTTTTTGCTTTGCACCAGCTTGGTGTAGCTATTGAGATACAATTTAGACCAAAGAAACTTACAAACCCTCGATATACTGAAGGGATAAAACCAGGCCAGTGAGAGGACTTCAGGAACATGAAACGCATAAATAACTTACAGATATCCAATCGCAACAAAATTAACCTCAAACTGCAGGAAATAGGAAGACATGCTGGATCACAAAGAACACATAAAGCTCCTCTAATTCGTGGTCCCATTTTGGTAGCTTTTCATCTATAGATAGACACTATCTATCCATCATACACAGCCATCCCAATTATGATACTGTACATGCCCCCATGCCATCCCGAGAGAACCCACCTAATAATCGCCCTCCCCGGTCCCCGCAATAATCACATTATTGATCTTCAACACCATCCTGCACAGCTGCGTCGCCAGCATAAGCTGCTGCCTCTTCCCAATGAGCGGATCGATCACAAACGCATCCCTCATATCGTTGCTCCCCGTCTGCATGCAGTCGACACCCAGCCTCGAGTTCTTCTCCGTCACCTGTCGGCTCTTGATGCTCGCCAGCGCGGCGATAGGCGATAAGCCAGAGTTCTCGGCGAGAGTCATTGGGATCTGGTCCAGCGCATCGGCGAAGGCGCGCATGGCGTACTGCTCCAGGCCAGGCGACGACACAGCCGCGTCCTCGACGGCAATCGAACACGCGATCTCGGCGGCACCACCACCATACACGACGCGGTTGTCACGGACAAGGTTGCGTACGACGCAGAGGGCGTCGTGGAGGGAGCGCTTGGCCTCGTCGATGATCTGTCGTTGGTTGTTAGTCACGTGTTTGAGGTTCAATATGCAGAGGTACAGGGGGACGCACCATCTTGTTGCTACCGCGGACGAAGACGGTCACAGCGCGGGTGTTGGCGCACTCCTCGATCACGAGCATCTTCTCCCTCGTGGTTCCGAAGCTCATCTCCCTGACAACGCCAGCCTTGCCCAACTTCGCCTCGGAGAGGTCCTCGAAGCGCGGCACGATGCGGCCGTTTGTCGCGATGGCGATAAGCTCCATCTCCGGGCCGCCAACCCATCTTACAGCGGGCAGCTGGTTCTGTAACAGCAAGTGGTTCGCCTCGTCATCGAAACCCCACTGGCAGATAACCAGGTTAGCTCCCGTATCCTTGATCTGCTTGATCATGCCCGTGAACTTGTCCTTCTCGTAGGTTTGGAGCTTCTTGAACTCCTCCACCGACGTGATGTCCAACTTGTGCTTCGTCTTCGGCTTCGGGGGCTCGAACGCGCACGTCAGGATCGCAATCTTGGCATCGCGAACCTCGGACGGCATCTGTGGGTGCGAGAAGTCCTTGTCCACAATAACACCCTTGACCAACAGAGAGTCCTCAAGCGAACCTCCAACCTTGCCGTCCACCTTGATCAACTCGAAGTCGACGTCCTTGCGCTCGAGGTCGGCGACGGAGAGAATGGCGTCAACGGCGATCTGGGCGAACTGGTCGTGTGCCTTCGACACGATCTTGCTTCCTAAGCTCGTCCGTGCCACCTTGAACAGGTTATCCTTGTGATCTGGCGAAAACTCAATTGTGTCTGCGATCCTATCCAGCTCTGCAACAGCAATATCGCACGCCTGGTCGTAGCCGTCTGCTATCCGGATAGGGTGGATTCCCTTATCAATCAGCTCAGCTGCCTGCTCCAACAAAGCACCAGCCAGAACGACAACACCCGTTGTTCCATCACCTATCTCATCGTCTTGTGATTTCGACAGCTCGACGAGAAGTTTTGCGACGTGGTTTTGGATCTCCATTTGGCCGAGGATGGTGGCACCATCGTTGGTTACTGTGATGTCTCCGTCTGGGGAAATGAGGATCTTGTCGAGTCCGCGGGGTCCTAATGAGGTCTTGACGATGTTGGCGACTGTGCGGGCGGCAAGGATATGAGATTTGACAGCTTCGTTGCCATGTTGTCTCTTCTTCTTTCCCTGACTGAGATATGGGTAAGCTTTGACTCCTGATGAAGGGGTCTGGAGCCGCAGGGAGGACGTACTCTCTAACGATAATAAATGGTCGGCCTTGCTCGTCTTTCACGACCTGAGCTATAATACCACACCGTCAGTATAATCGAAAGCGATTCTATCGGGAGTTTCTTACCCTGGGACATATCGATGTCTAGAAGAACCACATTAGCAATCCGCACCACAAGCTATCTTCAGGGGTGGGGGGGACATACTCATCGCCATCTTGAAGGTCGCAGGAGCTGCTCCTGCAAATCAACTAGCTGTAGAGTAATTCGATAAAAGCTTCGAAAGGCGTATAATATGTATCGGTGTGGTAAAACACCTTATATGCTGCTTCAACGCGGCCCTATCCAGATAAACGCGCCCACTTGATGTCTCGCCAAAATTTCATATCAGGCAACAACTAGTTGATGCCTTAAAATATAGCCTCGCCGCGCCAAGAAACGGGAGAGCATTAGGGGTATCTTAGTTTACAGTATACAAAATCGCAATTGGGACCAAATTTACGGTATGTGTTGGATTCCAGCTTTTGACTATGAATTATCGTAATTTCTTATCCTACACGGTAGCAGCATCCGTATCCAACATTAGCATGCCGCAAAGCCCCGCCTAATCTTTCTTCTTCGCCAGTGCTCCTCCTCCCCTCCTCTTATACTTCCTCGGATCCTTGCGGCTCATCGCGGCTTTATCTCTTGTCCCCTTTCCTCATTCCCATCATTATCAACTGTCGACACTGCCACGCCTCCATGACACTTAAACTCACCGCACCGAAGTTCCTGCGCATCACCTCTGCCGCCATGCCTGCGTCTGGACCCCGGCGGAAGCGGGACATGCTTCACCTCCACCCAGGCGAACCACTCCCACTGAATGGCCGCTGCACGCACTACGCGAAATCTTACCGTTGGTTTATGTTTGGTTGTTGCAAAAAGGTCTACCCCTGTGACAGATGCCACGACCAGAATGGATGAAGAGAGCGAGGGCGATCAAGAAACCCTTTAACCTCTTGACACAACGGAATGAGGGACAGCGTTATCGTTTCCCTTCATTGAGATTTATGGCATCGAACTTCTCGAAACCACGGTCTTAAATCTAACAATCAAGTGTGAGCGATGCAGAGACACCATGGATATCACGGGACTTCGCAACGGTGGTGTCTTAGCCAGAACATGCATATTTTGAGCCATGAAATTAACATGGCCCATCAGTGTCGTATCCTTCTCTTTCTTTGCACGCTCCTCTGCCTCTGTTGCCTTTGCATCTTCAGGCTTCACGCCTTCCAACGTAATGCGACAATTCTGCAATGGATACAGAAGCGGCACGAACAAGACTATCGTCTTGATGGACCGAAGAGGTACTGGGAGTTCGCCTGGTTTGCGTGGCTCAACCAGCAGAGTATAGGCAATTCCATCTCCAGACTTCTTGTAAAGGGGCAATCGCCCCAGTCTTGCCTTAAGCTGCCTCGTTTCCGAGTTTCTCTTGGCTTGAGCTTCCTCCTTTTGGACCTTAGAATATTACACAGGTTCAGGACAAGGAGCTTGCACCGGTTTCGGCGCCTGGACAGCTTTCCCTTTAGTAGTGGATGACAGAACTTCAGTGTGTACCGTCCTCACAGTTAAGTTTTCCAGATGCCGTTTATCAGCATTGGCCACCAGCTTATCGTCTCGGCCTTCTTCTCACCCAAGAAGGCCTCGAGGTTCTAATACAGCGCTCCCATCAATGCTAGCAACGTCATACTTCGTATTCTAGCCTCCACTAACCCATCAAATCCCCTTTCCACATTGGTAAACCCCCTGGGGATATCGCTATTCCTAATCCTCTCGGCGACTCTTCTGGATAGCCTTGTGGCACCGCAAGTAAGGACGCCAGTGCGGTCATCTCAAACGGGAAATCCGGATCCGACGGCTTCAAATCAAACTCGAGAATGACACCACCATCTTCAGATTTGCGCTCCCGGGGCTTGTAGCGCCGCCTAATCTGGCCGAAGCTGGAACTCTCTCGGGTCCTCAGTCTGTGCCTGAGGAATTGGCTTGGGCACAACGCGCGACGAAGGAACGGGCTTCGTTACTGCGTGGGCGCGCGAAGTGGTAAGGGGCGTCTTGGATTGGGGGGTTGAAGAACTGTCGCTGGCGACGGAGTCAGGCCGAGGAGCTGGGTTGTGATAATGGTTAGATGTAAAAATAACGTGACGAGTATATGCCAAGTATCGATTCATTCCATGAATCGATCATCCTTGGAGAAGCGATACATGTACGAAACTCTGCGGTGCACTGCAACCAGGGTGCACAACCTCATGCGAGCAATCGAGCTGCACAGGAATCGATATCATGCGAACAACCCCGATCGCAATCGCCATCAGACGATGGCCCGCAGTCTCGCCTCTCGGATCCCAACAATAGATCCTTATGACGCAACCCTCGACGCGCCCCTTTCCACCAATAACATCGGCGGTATCAAAACCACACCCTCAACAAAAAGCCAGCAATACGTACTCGCAGCGGTCCCATAGAACCTACATGCCTTCCCACGTTTCGTATCCAAGCCAGCCGGAACCGCACTCCCCGGCCACGATGTCACCAGCAGCCATACACGCATCTGCCAACGCATCAGCAAGGTCAAGTGACCACCACACACTTATCGATCAACTAACTATGCACCACGGGCGGTGCGTCAATGCGAGTCACCTTTGCCGTCGAGGCGGTGAGGATCAACGGCCGTGGATTGGGGGGAGGGAAAAAGGGAGCGGGGCTGCTGACCTGAAGAAGTGAGGGCGCTTGCGGACGCGGTAGGGCTGGCGTGGGTGAAGTGGGTAAAGTGGGTGAAGTGACTATGGCCATTGTTGTGGGGGGTGTGTCGTGTTAGGTTTCGTTTCGTAAGGCGGGGTGGTGAGTGGTGAGGGGGTGAGGGGTGGTGCAATCAGTGTATTTTAGGGTCTAGGCTGTTGCTGGGAAGTGACGCTTGATGTTGGTGTTGTTTCCCTGTTTGCCTGTTTGCGGGAGTTGATGGTTAGGGAACTAGTGCTTCGCTGAGTCCCGTTGCTGTTTATATCATACTAGGTCAGCTTATTATTAATTTTTAATTGAAGCGGCGAAAAATAGATAATACTCATTTTTCTTGTGATCCATTATGAGCCATCATTGATCGTATGCGCGGTGTTGACTCATGGTATTGCTCCACGGCGGCCGAGTCACCTCGGGCGATATGCAACTTCCACGCGCAAGACTACATGCATGACACGACATAAATCTACTGCTAAGAGAAAATGCACACAAACAAAAATAAGTCAGACATATAATAATTAATAATATTTAGCCAAGTTAAGTTATTTATGAATTAATTAATTAATTAGCTAGCGTATTTCACATGCGAGCTGGTCACCTAAGCGTCAACTTGACAAAACTCAACTTATGGCAACACCAACCCAAGCTAAAACCTCTAATCAAGAGGGTAGGATACTTCTAGCTATCTAATCAATCAAACAAGGCTATATTCAAAGTATCCGAGCTGCTATAATGTCGTATGACATCCCATTTGAGTCGCTACATACACAACTTAACATGTTACTTCTTAACGTGACACTACCCCTAATTCACACAAGTTAACTCTGTACAAAGAGGCAGCTCTTTGTTAGTACATTCTCGACCTAGATTCAAGTGGATTTCCACCCTAGCCATAGGCTATGTAAGAAATGGCAGACCTTCTACTCTCTAAACAAGGCAAGAGCCCTATTTGGAAACTAGACTACTAACTTCATAAAGTGTCGTATAGAAATCAAAGCAAAGTTTATTTAGAAGATGATTATAAATGAGTAAAATGTAAAGATCTAAAGATAATTAAAGGGTAGTTCTCCCTTATATGAAACATAGTTGTAAAATATAGAATCTTAGAGTAGGATATCTATAACTTTAATGAAGTAGTTTTCATAATAGGAGTTATTACTACTACAAAGGTAGTTATAAGCTTAGTAGTAAAGAGCTGTCTAAAGACTATATAGCTAGGGAATAGAGAGTAGGTGTTAATTATCTAAGATGTTAATTCGTATAGGTAGGTGTAATGCTACTTCCTAAGCAATAGGATATATAGAGGTTTCTTACATAAAGGTTTAACTTAACAGAGGAGGTAACGTGCATGTATAACGAAAGTGCCAAACAAGCGAAAGTGCCAAAATTATGCGGTGACCAACCCCCCCAACTAAATGTTAAATTCCTCCACAACAAAACATGCACCATAAAAATGATGAAAGAAATTAGTGCTAGCTATCCAAGCTATGCAAAGCAACCCAAATTTGCGCCTTCAAGTTGCAGCTAGGATCTATTCCGTAGACCACCGCAAGCTATGTCACCGTTTACAAGGCGTACCTTCACAACGCGATATCCAAGCCAACTTACAGAAATTAAGTAACCTAGAGGAATCAGTTCTTGTTCAGTATATACTTGACTTAGCTGCTAAAGGGTTCCCTCCTCAGTTGTCTATTGTTGAAGATATGGCAAATCAACTGATTGCAACATGCGACGCGCCACGCGTCGGGTCACGTTGGGCTTCAAACTTTGTTAAGCGCCATGTAGAGCTCCGGACACGCTTCCAGCGAAAATACGACTACCAGAGGGCTAAGTGCGAAGATCCAGAAGTCATTCGTGGCTGGTTTGAGCTTGTATGGAACACAATTCTAAAGTATGGCATCAACAATGCAGATATCTACAACTTTGATGAGACTGGGTTTATGATGGGCGTCATCTCAAGCGCAACGGTAGTAACGAGCTCAGATGGGCGGGCAAAGGCAAAAAAGGTGCAGCCTGGCAATCGGGAATGGGTTACAGTAATCCAAGGCGTTAGTTCTCAAGGTTGGGCAGTGCCGCCATTTGTCATTGTGGCAGGTAAAAACCACCTTGCATCTTGGTATGAGAATAGCGGATTTCCAGCAGATTGGGTAATCGCTGTTACTGCAAATGGCTGGACTACAAACGAGAGAGGTATGGATTGGATTCAGCATTTTGAGAAGCACACAAAGTGTCATACTGACATTCGTTGCACTCAGTTTGCTATCAAACTCAAGAGCAAACTTGGAAATCTCCTCCTCAAACCTACAAGTCACTATACATATTTTAGCTTATCACACCAACAACAAGAGCAATACTACTCAACGATTGCTACAACCATCTATGATTCATTACACGTCATCGCTCCTTAGTTACTGGGCCGATATTACCACATAGCATATCTCTACAACCCTCTATGATTCATTACATGACATCACTCATATTACCACATGACATATCTCTACCAACTAGAGGCCTAGGAGCATGAACGATAGCTCTAAAAGCTCCTACGAACCTCTATGATTCATTACATGTCATCGCTCTTTAGTTACCCACAAGATTGGTTAAGTTATGACATAATTTGTCTATGACATAAGTTGTCTATAGGGGTACTCTGACCTTGGACCCTTTTACTTCCTATAGGCTACGAACCTAAGAGATGGTTCTATGGGATTCTCTTACATCGACTACAGTTACCAAGCCTGGTAAGTCATGGAAAGTCTTGGAAAATGAGAGAACTACATTCCTTTAGCATAAATAGGATTGCCCTTTCCTTAAGAAAGGGCAAGCAGACAATACAGTAAATTGACTATCACATACTTCCACGTCTTTTCCAAGCTTCCAAGCATTCATCTTGTTACTCCTTGTTTCTGAAAAGTCAGTGAGGTGTTAACCTCTGACTTACCCCTGAGTTCCCAGACTCAACATTTGTTGCAACTTGTCTGAACCACTTCACTACATCACACACCTGATTGCTGCGTTGTGGAATAGTCTAAGCTACAACCCTTTGGCTCTGTTTCCTAAGACAGTGTGTTGTCTTAGTAAAATCATCCCTTCCTTGGGTGGCTAGATTCTCACATCTGGTGCACCCACCATTACATATATAAGTAGATATATTTCCTTAGATAGGAGCTTTGTGCTCAACTCAATATAGTATTCTTTACAATACTGTAACATGTTACTTGGAAAGCCTTTGTGTCTAATCCCCTGCCTCCTCTGTCAAGTCAACCTTACGCAAGAAACCTCTGTGTCTTCTATCGTTTAGAAGTCAGCGTTACAGGCAAGAGGTGAGGTAGACAAAGGGTAAGATTAGAAGGGTAGTAAGATTTGATTTTCATGTAGTAAGTATGCAGTGATAATGGTATATAGGGTAGTTTTGGTGTGGAAATGCAATGACGAAGTCCGTTTGTGAATCAGAGCAATATTGGGCAAAACATTATCATATTTCATTGTAGGGTGGTATAGGTTGGTGATGGAGGGTTTAGTAAGGCGTAACATTTGTGTTTTATATACAAAGTGTGCAGCGATAATGGTTTATATGGTATATTTAGCATAGAAATACAGTGGCGGGGTCAGTTTATAGATTGGATTAGTATTAGAGAAGATATTAATATTTTTCATGGAAATGGGAGGGGGTCATTATAAGAGATAATTGTAATATTTGTAGTTTAAGTAGCTGTGTAGCGATAATGTTATATAGGGTAGTTTTGGTATGGAAATGCAATGGCGAAGTCAGTTTGTAGATTTGAATTAAGATGGTAAAGATATTATTATATTTCATAGAAAAAAAGGGGGGGTTATATTGTAAGAAGGGACGCCAAATTTTATGCACACATATAGGACAAGGGTATAGTATAGTAGAGGTAATAGTATTACAAGGGGAGTTAAATCGGATAGTCAGTTTTGTAGTAGGAGGGCAGAAGAGTTTGTAGTTTTGTTTTTGGTGATAACAATATTTGTTTTTAATAATATAAAAAAGGGTTGAATTTTAATAATTTCGGGTTTTTCAAGGGGTGGAATGAAGTAGGATGTAGGATAGAGTAGAATATAATAAGAGGAAGGGTCAGGATTAGCATAGAGGGAGAGGGTTAGGGTTGTTGTGTGACGGGGCAACCGCCGTTTGTCCCGAGGAGGGCTGTGCCTAGCGTGTCCTAGCCAGCCCCAACGACGAGCAATGGAAGCTCGTCGTCGTTTGGGGGACACACACTTGCGTGGGGAGTGGGGGTTTATAGCCCGTTCTCATATGAGAACGGAGGGAGTTTCTAGATTGGGCTTGGGCGGGTCACGTGAGATGGAACTGGGTACATAGAATTTATTTATTGTTTTACTGGGTATATGGAGTTTTTGCCCAATAAACAATTAACAATTAAATTCAGGTAGGTAAAACAATTATCGACGGTAGATCCCCTTTGCCACCCAAGATAACACGCATAAACGCATAAACGTAAAGCCACACCGCCGGATGACCTCATCAAGTTTTCACTCCTTCTCCCCGTCGCGGGGTCACCCAAGGACCGGAGTTCCCCGTTCTGTCTCGAGTACCAGCGAGGTACAGCAAAGTACTCAAAGCTTAACCTTGAGGCGCGACGAAAGCATCTGTCAACACCACATTTGTCGTCATCACCACATACCAGCACGCTTTGAGTTCGAATTCCTAGTCAGGCGTCCTCTACGGCAATTGGAATGATGGAGAGGCTGGAATAATTACAATTCAAAAATCTTTGCTGGTGGGCTTACCGGTCACACCCATCAATGATACATTCTACCATGGCGCGCTTGGATATCAATAAGTTTTGAAAGGAGCATAATAATGGTGTCAGACGAGTCAGCGCCGTGCTCCTCACACAGAGTCTCCCATATTAACAAACAGAGCGAATCGGAAGAGAGCTCAACCCCCCCCTATGAGCCCAAGTCCGGGGGTAAGACACATCCGCCGTGCAGGGACGGCGAAGGTCGTCCGACACACATTGTCCGAGACACATTGAGACAGGATGAAAAGTCGCCACCACGCCGAGCTGTCACCCACGGTTCAGCGACCTGTCTGTTCCTGCCCCGCCATCAGCTGATGATCCAACGCCCAGGCCCCGCCTTCGTCGCTACCCGCCTCCGAGACACCGCGGCTATCACCGATGTCTCGCGCCGCCACGGCGTCCCATGACGTTGTGTTATGTCAGACATAACAAAGAACCCAGACGCGCGCGACGCGTCGCAAGTCTGAAGCGCGTTGGATCAACAGTCCAGATTCATCCCATTGCCCGAAGCGCATATCAGATCTCGTCGCAGGAAGCTAAACAACACTGATACAGGATGTCTCCCCCGCAACGGAGGCTCCCGTAAGAGGAGAGACACGCATATCGATGAGGCACGAGACGATCGCACGTGGGGTGCTGTTGGTTCAGTGTTGTACGCAGGAACACTGTGCAGCCGTCTCGCAATCTGGCATGTACTTTCGTGTGTCCTGCCTTTGTTTCTAGGGGAGGTTGGGGGATGCCATTATGCACATGACACCTTTGAATTCGCGTCGAGACGCGTCCTCGATGCTGACGCTGAGACAAAGTCTAGATGTAAACAAACTACCTCATCTGGATACCATTTGGATGCATGTCTTGCGCCTTATCCTTGCACAGCTGTGCCAGGTCTAGACTTGCCAGAAAGCCTGGCTATCCAACGTCATTGCAGTCTCCCCAAGTCAGTCCAACAGCTTCGCCAAGAATATTGGTTTTGAGCGTAGAAACTTCGAGTTTATTTAAACAGTAAATGCATGATATTAACATTGGGCCAATTGATCGAGGTATTCTAATACTTTCGGGCATAGTTTCCATAGACCAAAGTAATGTTTATTTAAAGACCATATCATCCTTCTGAGAGGCAGTTATAAGCTATCCCATTCAAGATGCGTGTTGCGCGTCTGCGGCTTGTGAGCCTGTATAATCTCTGGGTAGCTACGAGCCTTGAAAACAATTCAAGGTTCTATTTGCAAATGATTTACTCGCTGGAATTATGTCCACAGGAAAAGGTGCCCATACCAGTTCAATAGAATTAGAACCACCACCCTAACGCCTCATCAATCCCACTCCACCTCCCTCAATCCCCCAAAAGCCACCAGATATCCCCCCATTCAGCCTATAACCACTCCACTATCAACCATCGGTGCTAACACCGCGCCAAGCATCGCAGACTAAGTTCCCGATCGATGCAGCGATATTGATGGTCTGAGCGTCGGTGTCTGATTGGTCGATTGGCGCTAAGGCTGGGATCCCCTCTTTTTCTACCATGTTCAGTTCAGTCCGACGTCCCTGGGGGTATGCGCATGCACGGTTCGTTGGATGGTTTGTACAGCTCCTGCGATGGGGATTGGGGATGATAGAGAGCCTGCGACATGGTGGGGTATGAAAAGGGGCTGCTCTTGGGAATGTTTAAATGCTTGTGAGAGGTGTTTGTCAGATGCAGGTTGGGAGATGGGGGTGGGAGCTTGTTTACCCAAGGACGGTTGTTGTAGATCTGGGCTGCAGATATAGGGATACAACAGTTAGCATATTATTATTGCCTAATCCTTTTGAGAGTGTCGTCTCAACGACGAAAGGATCGCTATCACGTCCTACGTGTGCAAAACTTAAAACATGGGAAGTTCTTGGTCCGCAGCCACGGCGTAGATGTGAAGTATGCCAGCAGATGTCAGATCTGTATCAAGAACCACGCACCGCCATTCTACTGGAACTGACGAAGCCTAACGCCCTCAGGTCTAGCATTTTGGGTGGTTGTATGTGAAATTCGACCCCCCAAGTCCATCCGCCGGTTGCCCTACTACTGTACAAAAGCTTTTGCTCTTGGCTCTGATCGTCTATATGCCAGGGGCCTCATCGTCATACGGCCGTATAAGATAGATACCACCCCTAGGCAGTGTAACGTGTCTATAAGCCCGTGATAATGGCCGGAGGGATGATCGTTCTCAGCACTGACGCCATGGCGTTAAGTTCTGAAGTTGATATCCGTGCTAGACGTCTCATACGAAAAAGTCGACAATGCACGCTAACTCTTTCTATGCACAGGACGGGATACAACAACCTCGAAAGTATCCCAGTTGCGCATTGTGAGAACGGTGTGCGAGTTGCCTCTTTCGGTGAGGGTTGAAACACTCGGGGCCGGAGCGGGACGAAAAGGAAGGGATTTTGTATCATTTAGCGTTTCTATCCGTAAATAGCATCATCGTTAGTTAGCCCTGATCACATCGGAATAGGCAGGAGGAGTAAGTAAAAAACTCCATCGTCTTGTGACAACCTTGAACCGTCAACACATCCTTGCCGGCATTGACCTCCCATACCATCCTCAATCCCCATCAAGAATCTGCAAACACCTCCAAAACCCCTATGCACCCGAAAACAACAACACACAACACGCAGTCACGCGGCTAACCGAAACCATCCCAAAGCGCCATGACATCAACCCCCCCGAAAACATCATTGAACCCTTCCCAACCTTCCCAACCCCACACAACCAACCATCGCGGCTAACCCCACACAACACACCCCCATGACGTCGCCCCCTAAACCCTCAATCTCACATGTGACACCCCCAGAGCGTCGCCGACACCAACGCCCCAGGACCCTCCGCGCATCACCCTCCTGAAACAATCCGCAACCGTCCACTCCATTATTCCATTACGACCCTCCAACCCGCCGCCGCTGCACCCCGGATCCCACTCACCACTACGACTACCGTACACAACCAGCAGGAAGCTCACCCCGCAAACAATCCGTCGCATGGTCGTCCTCTAACGGCGCCGACTGCTGGAGTCGTACCTCAACCCCTCAACGCCATGCACGCTCGCACGCCCTCAAAGACCGCGGCTCCAACTCGGTCCTTCCCCTCCCAGGCGCCGAGGACGCACCGCGAGCTCAGCGTCACAGCGCGGCGCGCAGCCACCTCGGTCGATGAATAAGACCGCGTGCTGACTGCGTGCTGAGGGACACCGCCGATTAAAACCTCGCACTTGCACATGAATCCCCGACGACGCCACAAGTCCGGAGCGCCACACGCCCACAACACCGAGAAATCCCGACAGTCCGCAAGGGGAATTCGCCGGTGCGTGCCGGTACGACGACAAAGCAAAGCCAGGGCGTCGTGGCAAGACCTCGCAGCGGCGGAGAATTAAAATGTACCATAATATTATTCTCCTCGCTAGTGCTCACGCCGGTCTACAAGCCCATGGCGGACAGTACACCTCCTCCCGCTCCCTCCGCCATCCACGGAACCAGAACGAAATGGACAAGATATGCAACGGATGAGCGTCCTCACCCGTCCCCAAACTCCAGGCGGCATAGGAACCCCCCCCTCCTTCCCTTCCCATCCCTTCCCTCCGTCCACGCACTCCTCTTCAGGCCCAGACCCAAATACCAGAATCACGTGACCACCACCGTCCCCGCAAAACTCCCAAGGACCCCAACAATTCCCGAGAAATGCGGACCGCACTGCGCTGCCTGCCCTACGCTCGGCTTTCGCGTCTTGTCTTGTCGTGTCGTGTCAATGTCGTGTCGTGTCACCCGCACCAAACATACAACATACTCGAGTACAACCAAACAGGCGCATGCGCGTATGTGCGGAGAGCAGGAGGGGGAGGGGAGTGAGGGACTGCTCAGCTCCGTTGTCGCACGCACGACCGGGATACGTCGTATTGTACTGTAAGCACGTAACCAACGCGGTCATAAGTCACAATCACATCACAAATATTTCGCATTTATTACAAGGGTCACGACAAACCAAAGGGTGTGATTATAGATGAAGAAAATGTGTGGTATCATGAGATTAATTCTTATTTCTTCTTTCGTAGTAGCTACTTGCGAAGAAAGGAAGAACGGCATCTACATGTCTCTTCTCCCTCCCCTCCTCTCTACCTCGGCACCTTGTGTGTAACAAACAGGTTCCTGTTTGACCACTCTCTAGAGTATCATGGACCCCACCACCACCACCCCTTTGCTTCTGATATCTGTGCTCTCAGCAGCAGTATCGCCTCGCTCCACTGTGGTATCAAAAAATGCTTCCAAAAATAAAAGGCCGTTCAGCAAAAACATCCCTGTGGTCTAGTAACCACACGCCCTGTACAACCCCTCCTCTCCCCTCTCACATAAAAAAAATAAACGTCATGAGACCGGCTACGCATCCCGCCCGACCCACGTTGAGTAACAAAAGCAAAATAATAAAAAAAGCAATGCAATGCACCAAGCCATGCTGATAAAAAAAATGATGAAGCTAAAAGGTAAAATAGCAGAAGCATCATGTAATAACAACCCCTTCCCGTCTCGAAAAGCCAGGGAAACTCCCGAACAATGCCGTTAAACTCGCATTTCACTTTTGAATGGTCGTGGTATCTTGGCTGATTTAATAGTGCGACGCACCCCTTTCCCCTTCCCTTGGTCCTGCGACCCCGTCTGTATTTGGTAGAGTAGTAAACAGGCCGTCTCGCGCCGGTGCTGTTCAGTGCAGCGCGCGGTCGGAGAGGCGGATAAGTATATTCGTAATAGCTGTGGGAGATGGTCCAAAAAGCGCATGAATGTGTGGCTGTGGAGCCTGTTTTTCTTTCTCCCCGATTATGTTGGTACGTGTTTGTGTATATGCTGTAAAGCGCCCCCATCGTCGCTTTGGTGAGCCGAGGCATATTATGCGACTGATGAGAGCGCGCGAGGTATGTGTCTACCACCCCTTGGAGTGATATTCACCTAGACCTTGGCCGAAGTACTGGTTCCAGCTGCCATGGTCACTCTTGTCTTCCGTCCCAAGGTGCACCTTGTCGGGGTACTGTTTAAGGTTCGCGACGTCATGCGCCGTGTGCCTGCGCTTCAGGACAGCCGAGGCAGTCTGGTTCTTTTGCTTGCGCTCCCAGAGGAGGTGGCGACGGAGACTGGCTGTGAGTTCGGTGGCGAGCATTTGGCGGCGGGTGGTCTTGGGTGACAGGGCGGCTTGGTGAGGAGTCACATTGGTGGTGGTCATGATTATTGGCTGGGCACCAGTGCGAGGAACCTCTTGGCCAGGACGCATGCGGCTCTTCATCGTCAAAGGCGCGCTGTCGTCAGACTCGGGAGATGGCGCATCGGATGGTCCTTGTGGCGAAGAGGTGCGCGAGCGTTGTAATGCCGAAGTAGACTTTGATGCTGCGCTCTGTAGTGCGGCAGCCCGATCGTTCTGGTGGAGCATGGTGGTGATGAGAGATCGGCGAGATGTCAAGTTGCGTCGGGATTCCACACGAGGGAAGGAAAGCTTGTCATCAATGCTCGACTTTCCACTCTCCTCCATCGAGTCTTCCCAATCCGAAGATTCATCGTCGTCAATCGCGCTCTCGTCGATGTCGTCGTCGGTCTCGAAAACATCGTCGCTCATCTCCTCGATAGTCCGGGTGGCGACCTCTTCCTTGAAGGAAGTCTGCTTCTTCTGCTCGGGCCTCCGGAGTGCGTCGCTGAGTGAACTTCGGTGTGAATTCCTTTGCATGCTATCGCGTAATGAGTTCTCATCCTCCGCTGATGACCCACCGAGCTGGAACATGTTAGAGCGCGCCTTGTTCTTCTTCGACTGTTGCATCCGGCTCTCTAATGAGCTCTCCTGCAACGAGTCGTTATCGGATTGTGACGATCCACCCAGTGCGAACATTGCATGCTTCTTCGGTGCTGTTAACCTCGTATTGGAGGCTAGCGCTGACTTCGGTACGGATGCGGGTGTGCTGATTAAAGGTATTGAGCGATATGACGAGGAGATCTGAGATGGTGAGAATCCACGGACGACGCTCGTGGTATTGCGTTCTGATGCTGCTGATGCTCCGTCGGTTGTGGTTGACTCTACTGACTTCTGCGGCGACGATGGCGCTGGTGATGCCTTCTCGGGCTCGGGTGCGGAGATGATGGGAGTCGCAGTGTTGCTGAGTTTTGGCGAGGTGATCTTGTTCGCGAGTGGCGCGAGATATGAGTGGGTGCTCATGGTTAATGGCTCGAGGTCCTTCTTCTCCTTGATAGTGATGACCATCTTCTCCAGGTCGTCTGGGGTAATGTGTCGCTCTTTGCCTCGACTGCGGTTGCAGCCAGAGTCCTGCCTCCGTACACAGGGCCTCGTAATGGCAAGAGGTGCTGATGTGGATTGGCTCTCCTCGTTATCGGATTCAATGGCCTCCTCGTCGATCGAGTCGATGCTGCCGGACAGGTCTGGGATGTCGGCAGTGTAGCGACCCTCTGAACTCCGTTGCGATATCGAGATGGCGGGTGTGGTTGCATTCGCCTCACCTGGAGCACAGCAGAAGGTCTCTCTATTCCATAACCTCCAGCTGAGGTTTTCCAAACGACGTCCCTCCTCGATTGAGCCTGAGCATCGGGAGAATAGGGTCCATATACTGAAGAGGTTTTCGACCTGCAGAAGAGAGATTAGTAGAGTCCAGTGGGAATCGCAGCGAGCGTGTACTCACGTTTCTGGTGTCGATTCGGTGTATTGTGTTGGCGTCGACAGTCAAGACCGGCGTTTCTAAGGAAGGCATGACTGCTCGATTGTCGAGCGGACTCGTGGGTGAAGGCACAACTGTGCGTGGATCCGCGAGCTAAATCGCGGTGCTGGGGGATAGATGTAGTTGTAGTTGTGTCGTTCGGAAGGAGCGAGGGGCGAATGTAGTTATGCGTTTCTGCTTAGCTTGGTGGAAGCGTCCGGTGCTTCGGAGTGCATCGAAGAATCTCGCTCTAGACCGTGGTTGCAGCAGTTATAAGACGATTATGAGGGTGGCCTGTGCTCGTCGGACGATTCGGCGGGGTGCGAAAAGTAAACTGGAGATTAGGAATTCGGAGATGTAGATGTAGAGTAGAGAGTATTGGTAGTCGTAGATAGTTCGAATCGGATAGTTCGGATATTTCGGAGAGGTTGAGAGCGGGAGAGTAGTTGTTGTTTTTCGGTGGAAGGAGCGACGGTGAAGAGTTGGTGGGTGAGGTATGTTCTTTGAAGCATGTGTTGTTGGGTGACGGGTGATGAGGCAAGGGCAGGGTAATGTATGTACACCTACTTGTCAATCGGTCTGGGTCTGGACGCTAGTCACTTTCGGGTTTTTGTTAGGTTTTGTGGGTACTTGGGAGGTGTTGGCGATTGGCGGAAGTAGTGGGATTTGGATGGCGCTAAGAGGAGAGACTTTCCCGTATTGGGTAGTTTTTTCCTGGGTGGGAGTTGTGTGGGAGTTGGGAGATTTCTGGGTGGTGGTGGATACCGAGGACGGCGAAACGGTGGCGAAACACGTGGAACTAGTTTTTGCAGTACGAAGATGCGGAGACATATTACATACGGACAGCGCAAGAAGACGAAGTATACTCTGCGTACAGTCTGTACAGTCTGTACAGTCTGCGTACAGTCTGCGTACAGTCTGCGTACAGTCTGCGTACAGTCTGCGTATACTGTATGGTCAGTTCTACGTACAGCAGGGATATAAAGTCTGGGATCGGAAGAGGGAGAGAGAATGGGGATAGAGGGGTGTGGAGGGGCAAGAGAGATGGAGGGAGGGGTGGGAAGAGATGTGGTATGGATGGGGCGTAGATTATGGGGGAGGAAGACTGGGGGGGAAGACTAGGGGGAAGACTGGGGGGGAGACTGGGGGGAAGACGAGGGGGGAGACTGGGGGGAAGACGAGGGGGGAGACTGGGGGGAAGACTGGGGGGAAGACGAGGGGGGAGACTGGGGGGAAGACGGAGTCAAATGGGGTGATAAACTCACATAAAAGAGTCAGCTAGGCCAATCCCATTGAGGAAAATAGTCACCTTAGTCAACTAGCGTGGTACTTGACGGAAACTGTCACCAACCGCCCCGGAACGAGGGGGCTTTGTGCATAACATATTGGCAATTGGCGGGTGTCGATTTGCGCGGTTTGCGGAGAGTTGTGTCTGGGAAAAAGAAGAAAAGACACTTGCCTCTTTAGGAAATCACCGCTAGTCATTTCCACTTACCCTTTTAGGCAGGATGTCGAAAAAGGCAAGACGACAGACGAGAAGACCGAGAAGACCAGCACACACTACATCAAATACAGCTAGCGTGGTTATTTTAGCGCAACCCTTACTTTTTCTTCTTCTGCATACTCCGTACTCCGTACAGACGGAGGGAAGAGTACGCGGTACATTTATTAACTTTTCTTCCTTCTTCCGGCAGTGGGAGTGGGATGGATGGGGGGATCGGGGGATTGGGAAAAAGGGAGCACATCACCTGAGCTCCCCCGCCAAGAGAGAGAGAAAAAAAACACAGTTCGAGTGGTACATCACACACCGCGCTCTCGGTACCACCCCCAGTACTTGCTCTAACACGCTCTGTCCCACTGACCTTCTAGGTTCTCCCACCACTACAGCCCAAGTACCGGGCGTTGTACCTCCTGCCTCGGCGCCCAAACGAAAGCATCATCGCAGGAGCATCATCGGAGGAGCAGTTGTTGTCTGTGGTGAGGATGAGTGTAGTGTACGCACTGGGTACTGGCTTCTCTCGCGCCCTCCCCTCCCCGCCGCCTGGTAGCGGACGGACGGTGAGAGGGCAGGTGACAGGCAGGCCCGTCGACTGTACTTTTTACTGTGCTATGCCATGGTTCGGATGAGACGTTGCACCTTCCCGCTCGCAAAATCCTCTCTCTCCGCATCTAGTACAGTACGGTACATGCTGAAAATCCTCCTTATCACCCTCTCCTCTTCCCCTCCCTCCTTCCCCTCCCTCCTTCCCCTCCCTCCTTCCCCTCCCTCCTTCCCCTCCCTCCTTCCCCTCCCTCCTTCCCCTCTCCACCAACCGGATACTCAGCCGGAGATACATTTTCGCCGTAGCAGCGAGTTGAACGTGGCAGTGGACAGCCAAAAGGCCTCAGTGGGGAATCCCAAAATCAAAAAACGCGTATCGGGAACCACCTAACCCCCTCCCTCAACGTCCTAGAGGCCACAAAAGCCCACATCCAGGGCGAATGCCACCTAGAGGCTACAAGGAGAGCCCACGAGAGGCCACCTAGAGGCCACAAGGAGAGCCCACGAGAGGCCACCAGGAGAGCCCACGAGAGCCCTCAAGGAGAGCCCAAGCAAAGTCCCACCCACTAGAAAAAGGATAAATTATGGAGAAGGGGAGACGGGCCAGAAGATCACGGGTGTGTGTGTCTGTCTCTCTTTTTCCGCTGGTGGCTAGTCGTGTACTAGGCGTGGACTAGTCGTGTACTAGGCGTGTACGAGTACTAGGTATGTACTAGGCATGTACGGGTACTAGGCGTGTACTAGGCGTGTACGAGCACTAGGCGTGTACTAGTACTAGGCGTGTACTAGGCGTGTACGAGCACTAGGCGTGTACAGTACTAGGCGTTTGTCTCTCGTCGCTGTGGTGCCTGAATCAACTAACGATTGACCGTCATCTCCCGGAAACCCTCCCTGACCCATCCGACCGCTCTTCCCTGTCATCTCTGCCACGCCATTTGTTACTTTTTTTGGTTGTGGCAGAGAGCCTCGGACTAATTCAGAACAGGCACTAGCGGAGCATAACATCGCGTTTCCGCGGCCGATCACTTACCCCAAGACCCCAAAACTCGGGGGTCGATGGTGTCCTTCCCTACACACACGCACACACACGCACACACACGCACACACACGCACACACACGCACACACACGCACACGAGGGTACCACTACCACCACCACCAGCCAACTGACAACCCAAATGCGTGTACCAGAAATACTATAATACTCGACTACTCACTGACATCTGCGTGTATTTCCTGTCTGCATGCATACACCTCTCGTGCGCCGGGCTCTCCCATCGCCTCCGCCATGCACGACTCGCACAAAGCAAGCTTTCCCCTGCGCAGCGTGCATGTGCCATTCCCCAGAAAAAGCAGAAAAAGCAGAAACAGCATCATACTGCAATAGCTATACCTCCCTCCCCCGCCGCCTCGCCTCGCCCGGCCCTCTCGCCACCACCGCCGCGCCGCGGCAACTCTTCACATGATATCCCCATAACCGTAAACCCACGGCAATACCTAAAACCACGGCGATGGGCGATGGCAATCCCAATGTCTCGCCACCCGGACGCCACCCTCGCCTCCCCGCCCCTCGTCAACATCCTCGTCGACATCCCTAAAGGCGTAACTCCAATCCATTAATTGACAAGTCTCCCAAAAAAAAAACACACACACACGCCCCACCCCAATCGGGCCTCCTTGCGCACGCGGCGAACTCCCCGGTCTCCCCGGCGTTGGTGCTGGGGCCAGGAATCGGGGACTTGGGCTCTGTTGCCCCTCCGTATGAGATCGCTGGGTTTGATGAGCGAGGGCGGGTGCTAGGGGGGGGGGGGACTTGCCGGACTTGCGAAAGGGAGGGATGGCGGCAGAAGATGGGTTATACTTACCCCTTTGTCGTTTCGGGGAGGTATACGTGGGTTAGGGAGTTGGGGAGAATTAGATGGGGGGGGGGTTTAGGCAGCATGCTGGGTTTGAAAGATGTCATCTACACCCCGTACACCTACCCTCAAAGTTCTCCCTCCCCTCTCACATGACTCTATTCCCATCCCCTTTCCCTCCGCCGCCCCTGTGGCGTTGTGGCGAACACCTCCCCAAACGGGCCTTTACCGGCCCACCCCCAGCACCTGATTGGACCTCCCGGCGCTTTGGCGAACAAGGGTGCGTCGGTCACAGGATGCAGCCGCGGCGGGGGGATGGCGGTTAACACGTGATGGACCCCTGGTAGGTCAAGGCCGGTGGCAAGGGTTCGCGTTCCTGGTTCCGCGGTGGGAGAGAGTCAGTTTGCGAGATATCAGATAATGCCGAGTTTGTAACGCGGGACGGGGAGATGGGAGTTTGGTGTGCGCCGTGGGCCAGAACAGAAAAGCCAGCTGCGAGATTCCGATGCGTGCGAGACAGTATATAGATGAGCTGTCGCTATCCGCATCGTCTCGATCGATCCGAGACGCTTCGCATCCGCTTCCAGTGCTGCACATAACAGCACATACAGTGTACGGCAGCCTATTCCCATATCGTAAACCCGTACTCCGTACATCACAATACACCACCATACCCGCCATCGTACTCCCCCAACCCTCCCAAACCGATCAATCAATCAACCCCCCTCCCCCTCCCCACGCCGCCCAAACACCCGGGTCCCCTCCCCGACCACACAGGTAAAGGAACAACCCTCTCCGCGCCCGAATGGGTGGACACACCACCATCACACTTGGGTGCGCGTCCAATCGCAATGCAGCGCGGGACCGGGACGCGGTTCCTGTCGTGACGGACGGCAGGGATGGGATGGGGTGATGTGCAGCCGATAAGTCCCTTGCAGCGGCGGTGGTGTGCCTCATCTGGTTTGTCTGTACGTACTGGCATCAACTACGGAAATGGGTGAAAGTGGAGAAAGGGCCCATGGGCGCCGAGACGCAGACCTTACGATTCAGCACCATTGCACTGCACCCCGTATGTACGCATGTCCAGGACAAATACGTATATACAGTACATTATACTATACCCAGATGGTGGCGGCCAAACCGCCTCCAGCCCTCGCATCCGCGCTTTACAAAGCCAGCTGAATCCCCCCTACGACGACTCGTACGCACTGCAACGGCGGCAAGGTACCACGGCATCCAGTGGCGGCGATCGCGACGGCTGCGCGGCGGCGGGCTGCCTGCCTGTGGCGGGGTGGTACGGGGAGGGCGCCACGGCGGGGTGCTGATAGGAGGGCGGGGATCAGGTGGGTGTTCAGGTGTGGTAAGTGGTACGGCGAGGGATGGGGGTTGTACGTGGGCTGGGGATGGGGATGGGGTGGTGGTGGTCGCTGGGGGGGTTGTGAGAGGGAGCGTGCTGGGTTGGGAGGGGGTCAGTGGTGGATGGGGGAGGAGTGACTTGTTGTGTGTGTAGGATAAGCAATGTGAGGCGCGTGAGATGCGAGTCTTTCTCATCGCCACCACAACGTAGACTAAGTCGTTGAACCCCCACCATCAATCACCCACCCAGCTTCCGGGACTGAGAACTCCCAAAAGAAACTCCCAAAAGAAACTAAAGAGACCCCTAAATACGACGAGTAAGTCTCACAATACAATATCTCGGAAATCATAAAATACAAAACGCATAACGTACATGTATAACGTATTCCACAGGCGAAGCGATCACTAGGGGAAAGCGATCCCTAGCGATCACTGAACTTCCCACCTAAAATTGAGAAATTAATTTGCAAGATAATAACTCAACAACAACTTCGTAATATATTCTAAAAATGTGTGTGTATCCTTATATAGACACGTAGATTCCTTTATTTTAAGCTTTAAGCAGTAGATATTGAAATATAAAGACCTAGTCTAAATTTCAGTGCCTAAACTGAATATCTTAATATTATGTCACTCCTAACATATCATTCCCGTCCTCCCTCCCGTCTACCCAGCACGCAACCGCCCTCCCATTCCCATTCCCATCTCATCCCATCCCACCTTCCCCCTTCTCAAACAGTACGCCTCCTTACACCACATCCTCACACAAGCACAACACACACCCCCCAAGCCACCACCCACGGCGCCAACACATGCCGTCTCCCCGGCCCGCCAGGAAGCAGGTCACGCGCTTCCTCGCGCCTACGTGAGACACTGTGTGCTGGCACCCGTTGTCGCCGGGTCCCCCCTTCAGCGGTGGTGGGTGGTGGTGGTGGTGTCAGCGCCTAGCTGGTGAGCTGGTGGGCAAGCGTGCGGTTTGACAGGTGCCGGCGGGAGAGAGGGTTGGTCAGTTAGTGGGTGGTGTGTGGGGCACAGCAGTGCGAGTACGCTGAGGGGAGTGATAATGAATAATCAGTTTGTGGTTTCCAGAATACGATTTCGGGGAATTAGTTTACTCTAGAATGTTTGATGGAGGGGGAAGAGCGTGGATGAGGGCAAGGAGGATTACTAAGGATGATGATGCTGTGCGACCCGCCAACTACTTTATGATTACTACATCGGTACGTGAGTTGTAGCTACGATAATACTCGATAATACTCGAGAATCCCCCCTTCGGGCACCAACCTTCACCCTCGCGGGTTCGCCACAGTACACCACTCTACTTGCGCTCTACTTGCACGACGATAAGAGTCAGCTCCATAGAACAAGGCGCACCACGACACGAAGCGCTGGGGTCAGACGGGTAGGTGGAGGCGCCGCCGCCTAGCATCGTGCGCCTTCACCTCGCAACTCTATCTACGTCTGATGTGCGCGTTCCCGGTCGCCGGGCGCTACCCTCGCGCCCACACTCTCAGTTGACTGCGTAGTTTGCAGCCGGAGCATCAGCGCCGGTGGCAGACGAGGCGCCGAGGCTGCGGCGCGTCCCTTCCGTCGCCAGGCTGGGGACGTCGTGTGAGCGGCGGCTGCTGCGCTGGCAAGACGTCTGCTGCCTGCCTGGGGATCAGGATCAACAGCAGGGAGCACGCGACGCCTACATGGCATGGCGGCGACAGGCTGGGGATAATCTGATCGTAGAGAAGGATACGCGAGCGTCGGGGATCGGATGTCAGGTAAGCCAGCAGAGGGTATCGTGGGCTGGGGTTGGGGGCTGAAATGCAGGGAGCCCACGCACGGCAGTCAGCTGTACGATTTCGGCCGGCAGAATGGGTAGAGTCTGCGATGGGGCCGGAAATAGATATGTTGGGGTAAAAAGCGATGGGGGATATATCGGAGAGTTGGATATACAGGATCTAGATGCCTCGTGAGGAGCGGGAGCGACGTGTTATTTTTCGGATGGATCGCCGAGGGGGGGTGATGTGATGCGAGGAATGCTGCGATTCATGCGGGCGTTTTTTGGTGACGACAGGTGATGGCGCCTAGATTGGTGAGGGAAGAAAGGGGAACGGGGGTCAGTCGGAGGAGATGGGAGATGGAATGTGAAAGGAGTTGATCAGAATTGTGACGATTGCTCCTTCTGACACGCCAGCGTCGGCACGTCACGTTGACGAAGCCTGTCCAATCCGAAGCTCGCCACCACGACTCCCAACGCTGAAACCACATTTGAATAACGACAAATAACAACAACGACAAATAACAACAATGACAATGTCTAAGCCCCCAAATAAAAGAGCCAGTCAACATGAGTCAACCAATGCAATTATTATTCCCAATAAACACAATTACTGCATTCGGAATTTCCATTGATCAAGTCACCAAACGACCTTGGTAACTTGTATACTTTTTACCCCACGACAACCCACGGCCAACCCACGGCCAAAATAGAGACCAGAACATGTCACCGCCACAGTTTAAAACACAGCTGAGGCTGAGCGTATTGGGGGGGGAGCGTCACCCCAAGCATCCCACCATCCCCAACCCCATCCCCAACCCCATCCCCATCCCCATCCCCATCCCCCCATCCCCCCATCCCCCATCCCCCCATCCCCCATCCCCCCATCCCCCATCCCCCCATCCCCCCATCCCCCATCCCCCATCCCCCATCCCCCACCCCCATCCCCCATCCCCCACGCACACGTCTCACAACCCACCACCTGACCATCACAGCGGCGTCAAAGAGGGACCCTCGGCGCATTCTCGCCCTGTGCCCTCAATGTCATTCCATGCCATTCCAGCGCTCCCATCCTATCACCCCGCACGCCCAGCGACGTCTGCCTGGGGTTGGTGCGCTCCACTGCCACAGCGGACAGAGACAGGGCCTGACAAACTGGACTTAGCAGGCGCTGGGATCATGTCTGGTGTCTGATCCCAGAATGCAGGGCGCGAAGGGCTCGCCACTCCAGAGTCGAAGCACAGGGACGGCGCGTGATGGGGGTGAGATTTGCGTAAAGTTGCCAGAGGGGTAGAACGCGTGATGTGATGGCGACTGTGATGGGGGTAAATAGCTTGGTGATGGGAATTAAATGGCCCGAATATTGAATTAATTTCGTTAATTATGGGAAATTGTAATTACCTGAATTGATTTTATTCTTTTAAATCCGGCCTTCCTTTTCCGATAATTATCGTGGCGTGAGGCTTGTTGGTACGATCAATCAATCTATCGATCAATCAATCTATCCAACAAGCCACCTACTTCAGTCTCGGCCTGGGTTTCTCCAGGGACCTCCTTCCAGACGCGTGCTTTGCAAGCCCAAACGCGCGGCGTCTCTCCCTTCCCCAACATACCCTCTGAGTTGGAAGTTCCGACCACCAATCCGTCTCGGGGCATCCCTCCGCAGTCGCAGCCAAACTTTGAAAAGACGTTGTTGGACCCTCCTACTGTCTTCTCCGACTCACGTGGCGGCGGCGGCTAAATTAACAGCTTTGTCGACCAAGCTTTAGACCGACCAGGTAGATTAAGGGTCATGTCACGGGAGGTGAGAGGCTTTTCTTTTCATCTATCTGTGTGCACTGGGAAACGTGATGTGTAGTGTTTGACAGATATGAGGGCATGAAAAGGGGGAGAGTGGTGATGATCTCAGCGCAGAAGGACAAGGATCCACAGCTCAATGAATGAGAGAATACCACCGTGGCCAGGCGTCCTGCTACGCTACCACATCACCCGCATCACCACCGTTTCGCGAGCCGCATCCAATCTGAGCGCATCGCCGGGCCGCTGCATCGTCTCCCGCTCCCAGCGCATGAGATCTCGCCGCATCACGTTGTGCCTGTTTGCGACATTGGGGCTCGGGTGATACTGTTGGAGCTGGGGGCCGGCGGTGCTCAGATGAGATGAACGGCGTTGACTGGGTTGTGAGCCAGGGGACAGGTTTGATGGAGTGCTCCTTTGGGTTTATTTGAAGAATGTTGGAGAGACGGATATTCCCAGCGTGGGTTACTATTTGGGACCTTGGGGTCTGGCATTAAATGGGCTGGATTAATTTGGATGGGATCGTTGCTCTCGTGGGCATTGCTATGATTGCGATGTTCGAGAGCGCTGCTTGTCCCGGGAGCAATATATTGCTCCTACCCGCCACATAGCATGATCCGGACAGGAAGGTACAGGAAGGTAAGGTCATGGGCTTTCTTTCTTCGCAATCAAAAAGCCCCATCCCTACACGTCTCCACCATCTCCACAATCTACTCTCCCCATCTTTCTAGAAACCCTCCGAGTCTTCTTTCCATTTACCCTAGAGCTTCCTAGGCCCTTGGCTCTCCTGATTCATTCACCTGACCCTCTTTGCATTCAGCCTATACGCTGAACCAGACCACCGGGCTCTTCTTCCACACCCTCCAAAATCGCCGCCGGCCCACCTTCCCATTTTTCTGTCCGCCGAACGGTGAGACAAGACTTAGCAAACCACGCGCTTAAGCGCCTCGCCGCAACCGCGACATAACATAACCCCCTCAGGAACAACTCTTCCCGCTCCGCCCTCTCCATCTGTAACGGTCTCCGACCATGTAGCCACCCATGCCAAGTCCCATCTCCCCTCCGTATAGTTACTTTCCAGAGTACCGCCGCCATAATCCCACGCCCCCCACTTACCTCTCCGAGATCCCCGATCCGGTAATCCGTCTGCAATCCCCTGGTCAGCAGCAATGCAACCCATTATTCGCCTCGCACGAGCGGCGAGGCCGGCGCCGACGTAGCGTCGCAACACGTGGGCGCAGGGCCGCGCCGTGGCACGGATCGGAGGATTCCGGTCCGAGAGCATGTGGCGGCGCCCGGATAGACAGACACGCATGGCTTACTGATCACGGCAAGCCACCACCCCTCGTCTCTCTGCCACACGCAAGCAATACCGTTTTCGTATCCCGCCATCAGGTGTAAAGTCACCGATTCGCTGGGGTGGGTTCTGGGCGAATCCTTCGGTGCTACTGTGCGCGATGGCGAGGGCACGAGCGTTGGGCGGGCGGGTCCGGGAGATGCAGCGAAGAGGGCCTAGCAGGTTTGGAGGGTGCTGGGCGGGTGGGAAATTGGGGGAGAGGTGCCTGCGTTGGGGAGAGGTTGGGGGCGTCTGGAGCGTTTCTGTGGGGCTTCGTGGTCGGAAAACTGGGCTTTGAAGCTTCCCCAGAGTGGACGCGGGGGAGGTTTGGAGTTGGTTTTGGTCTGCTGGTTTGGTTTGATGGGAGCTTCATGTGCTGGATGGGGGGAAGGGAAGGACTTCGCGCGGCAGGGGAGCAACGTTGCAAGGTACTTCGAAGGAGGTCCCAGACGTGATCATTCCTATTATCTGTCATCGTAGCCTTTGCACTTGAGAATGGGCGCTCTGGTTCAGCCTCCATTGCTGGTATTGACAGAATATCTAATGCCATAACCGCGAGTGCAGGGTAGGTTGTCTTTTGCTCTAACCACCATGCTCTTAGGTCTACAATAGGTGTGTAGGCAGCGTCACAATATCGAATGTATTCGTCTATGGTAGATGCCTGTTGTTGCTTCAGTTCTCTCCACTTCTGAAGGCCAGTCTTAGGTTTCGTTGCTTGTTTAATGGTAGTAAGAACTAGAAGCTCTGCCGCTTTGTATTGGCTCTTCTAAAGATCTTACACTGACTCTTTTGCTGCTATAACCCATTCAAGTGGCTAATGGGCATCAAAATAGGTCTACTTTTGTAATGGTATTAATACCATTGTAGCGGTATACACAGCTGATCTCTCTGTTAGGGTATAATATTGATTCAATTTGGCCTAACCTAAGTTGATCATTAGCATCATAAATGCATTACCAATGTACTTGATCTTCTGCTACTTAAGGCGATCTAAGAGGTAATCCATTGTAGGCAAGACTCGTTCAAGTGTAGCCTATCACCCTTCTTGTCATACTGACATTCGTTGCACTCAGTTTGCTATCAAACTCAAGAGCAAACTTAGAAATCTCCTCCTCAAACCTACAAGTCACCATACATATCTTGGCTTATCACACCAACAACAGAGGCAATACAGTAAATCGACTAGCACATACTTCTACGTCTTTTTCAAGCTTCCAAGCATTGATCTTGTTATTCTCTGTTTTTGAAAAGTCAGTGAGGTGCTAACCTCTGACTTACCCCTGAGTTCTCAGACTCAACATTTGTTGCAACTTGTCTAAACCACTTCACCACATCATACACCTGATTGCTGCGTTGTGGAATAGTCTAAGCTACAACACTTTGGCTCTGTTTCCCAAGACAGTGTGTTGTCTTAGTAAATTCATCCCTTCCTTGGGTGGCTAGATTCTCATATCTGGTGCACCCACCATTACACCTTGCCTGCTTCAAGCTTCAACTATTTCTATAGCAGCACTTCGATACTACAATGGAGGACGACCAAGCTCCTACAACTACTGCTGAACAGCAGATGCAACAACTGTTTGCCTTTATACAAACTATAGCAAACAAACTTGAGAATTTGGAAAACACCTTTCAAGCCAACACTTCAGCAACACAATCTTCAACTCAGACACATCATACAGAGCTTCCCACAGCTCCTCTGGCTATTTCGAGTACCCCAGGTGCACTTCCTAAAGTGCAAACACCAGATTTATACCATGGAGACAGGAGGAAGTTGAAGGGATTCCTTATGCAACTGGACATCTACTTCACCCTCAGGCCTCATCAGTTCACCTCAGACATTCAGAAGATCTATTTTGCTGCCAGCTACCTCCGTGGATCTGCATTCAACTTCTTTGAGCCATATCTTAGAAGACTTAGTGGCAACAACCAAAATACCACTACACCTTTGATTACCTCTTATGACCAGTTTCAAGAGGAACTTACCAGGACCTTTGGAGACATCAACGAAACTGCTACAGCAGAAAGAGAGCTACAGAAGCTATGTCAAAAGACCTCTGCTGCTCAGTATACAACAGAATTTAGGAGAATCACTTCTCACTTGACTTGGAATGAAGAAGCCTTAGTCTTCACTTACTACCAAGGGCTCAAGAGCTCTATTAAGGATGAACTCAGCAAAGAAGAACGCCCTACAACACTTCAAACGCTTATAGAGAAAGCTGTCAGACTTGATGATAGGCTTTTTGAAAGAAGAAAGGAGAAGAACCAAGACTGGCATCCAACAAGAAATTTCAACAATTACACCTCTACACCAACTGCTAAGGACTCAGCACCTGAACCTATGGACTTAGACGCCTCTATAAAGAGATCTACAGCAAATCCAGCACCTCAGCCTACAGGATACCCTCAAAAACTGAAAAGGGGTAAACTTACCCCTCAAGAAAGAAAACACAGATGAAGACCTAGGATAACTGGGTACTTCATTGGTATAACATCTAAAGAGATGGTGTCTGAAAATGTTGATTTTCCTAGGGGAATCTCAAGTTTGAGTACTGGGGTGTTGCAGGTAATGGAACCTGAACTGATAGGAGTTCCATCAATGACTCGGAGCAACTCTGGAGTGCGTTTGGGAATTGTAGGTAACTGGTGTGTCAAGATGAGGTCTTGAGATATAAAGTTGCCTGTTGCCCCTGAGTCTATCATAGCCCTTGTAGACAACACCTGTTGTTTGAAATGGAGTTGAATAGGGATTAACAGGTGTGTGAGACTCTGAGAAAGCACCATCGACACATCTTTGTTGTCTAGGGGAGAAGTTATAGTCTCAGTTGAAGTTGTGCCTGCTAGGGATTTTTCAAGTTTTTCAGGAATAGCAGTTGTGACTGTGTCTGAGGCTGCTATATGTTTTGAATCAGCACTCCCCCGTGCTGAATAGCACTCCTGAATTCTGTGTCCCCCTTTGCCACAGTATAAACAAGGCTTCAAAGGCATGATCCAACTATCAATTGGAAGCATTTATCGCTTGGGTTTAGCTCAAATCCTGAGCTCAATACTGAAAAAACCCTTCAAGCCTCAGTTACCCCTATTCAGGTCCAAGACTCAAACTTGTCCCAGATCAAGGATTTTGACCAAACTATGGACGATATATCATCTCTGATATGGGTTAAACCTTTCCAACCTGTCCTGGAGATAGCAGCTACTTCAGATTTGGAGAAATCATCTCAGGAGGTCATTTTGCCTTTAGCATACCAAGACTACCAACATCTTTTTGACAAGGCAAAGGCATCAATTCTGCCAAAGCACCAGCCTTATGACCATGAGATACCACTCGCAGAAGGCTCAATGCCTCCCTACGGCCCTATCTACTCTCTATCTGAATTAGAGCTGAAAACTCTCAGAGAATACCTAGATGAGAACTTAGTTCTGGCTTTATCAGACCTTCTTCCTCACCAGCAGGAGCTCCCATTCTCTTTGTCAAGAAGAAAGATGGCTCCTTGCGTCTCTGTGTTGATTATAGGGGCCTTAATGCAGTCACTGTTAAAAACAGATATGCTTTACCCCTTATCCCTGAGCTCATAGATAGGCTCTCTTCAGCAAGGATCTTTACCAAGTTAGATCTCAGGGGAGCTTATAACCTGATACGCATCAAGGAAGGTGATGAGTGGAAGACAGCATTCAGAACACGCTATGGTCATTTTGAATACCAGGTAATGCCTTTTGGGCTTGCCAATGCACCTGCTTCTTTCCAAGCTCTCATGAATGATATTCTAAGACCTTACTTGGATATCTTTGTTGTTGTCTACTTAGACGACATTCTTATATACTCTTTAGACACTCAAGAGCATGTTCTACATGTTAGACAAGTCTTAGAGAAGCTATCTCAAGCACAACTCCTTTGCAAACTTGAGAAATGTCTTTTCCATATGTCTCAAGTTGATTTCTTGGGACATAGAATTTCAACAGAAGGCATTCAGATGGACCCTGAAAAGACAAAAGCAGTACAAACGTGGCCTATTCCTTCCAGCATTAAAGAGGTTCAGTCTTTCCTTGGGTTTGCCAACTATTACAGGAGGTTTATACCAAGATATACATCCTTGGCTTTACCCCTTACTCAATTACTTCACAAGGACACTTTGTATCACTGGGATAAGACACAGCAAGATGCTTTCGATGCTCTTAAAGGAGAATTTAAAGAAGGGAAAATGTTACTACACTTTAACCCCTTGAAACCTGCCACTCTTGAGACAGATGCCTCAGATTTTGCTATTTCTGGAATCTTATACCAAGCTCCAAAAGACAAACAAGAAGAGCTACAGCCTGTGGCATTTTACTCAAGAAAGCTATCAGCAGCTGAACAAAACTATCCCATTACAGACAAGGAACTGCTTGCCATAGTATGTTCTCTAAAGCATTGGAGATGCTACCTTGAAGGGGCAAACTATCCTATCACTATTTACAGTGACCATTCAAACCTCTTGACCTTTACAACCACTAAACAGCTCAATAGACGACAAGCAAGGTGGTCTGAACAACTAGGAGGTTTTGACTTTGTTATAAAACATGTCTCAGGGGCCAAGAATCAAAGAGCAGATCTCCTCTCAAGAAGACATGACTACCAAGATTCTGCTAAAACTAGCAATACAAAGGCTCTGCTAGACTCAGCAAAGCTTATAGCAGCATCTTTAAGCAACCCTAGTACTACAGAGGACTTAGGGGTAAACTTATCCCCTCAAGACCAAGTTGCCCCCATTACCTCTTCTCAGGAACCAGAGACCTTTAAAGACTATACACCCTCAGCAACACTTCTTAAAGCATTCAAAGATGCTTACAACCATGATCCCTTTGCGAAAAGAACTTTGGAATACCTCCAGAAGAAAGGTTCCTCTCTTGAGAAAGTTGGACTACAGAATTTCTCAAAAAATCAGCATGGACTTCTCTTATTCAAGAACTATATCTATGTCCCAAGGGATAAACGATTACAGCTACACCTCCTACAGCAGTTCCATGATGCTCCAGCTGCAGGGCACTTTGGCTTTGCAAAAACTTATGAACTTCTAACAAGAAAGTTCTACTGGCCTAGTCTAAGGACTACTCTTCAAGACTATATATCTTCTTGCACTACTTGCAACTTGAACAAACCTACACGGCAAAAGCCCTATGGACTCTTGCAGCCTCTACCTATACCAGAACGCCCATGGGACTCCATATCCATTGACTTTATAGTCAAGTTGCCTCCTTCTATCCCAAAAGGGGGTGCTACCCCTTATGACTCTATCCTTGTGGTGGTAGAAAGGCTCACAAAAATGGCACACTTTGAGCCTTGCAATGAGACTATCACAGCTTCTGAACTTGCGTGGCTATTCCTCAAGGTGGTCTTTAAATATCATGGAATTCCTGGACACTGGATCTCAGATAGGGGAGCAGTTTTCACTTCAAACTTTTTTAAGGAGTTCTCTAAACTCTTAAACATGGAACAACGCTTCTCTACAGCTTATCACCCTCAAACAGATGGCCAGACAGAGAGAGTCAACTCTGTACTTGAACAATATCTAAGAATTTATACAAACTATGCTCAAGACAACTGGGCAGATCTTCTCCATCTTGCAGAATTTGCTTACAACAACACAGTCTCTAACACCACAAAAGAGACACCTTTCTATGCAAACTATGGTTATCACCCTAGGTTTGAAGTGGCAGAACTGAATTGTCCTGAAAATTTCAAAAACCCTTCTGCTACTGAAAGAATCATCTACCTTAAGGGCCTCCAGGACTATCTCAAGGTTCAAATACAGCGTGCACAAGACGAGCAGGCTCAGGCCTTTAACAGGGGGGTGGTTGCACCACAATTCAAAGTTGGTGATCAAGTCTTTTTGTCTAGAAGACATATCACAACTACTAGACCTTCAGACAAACTTGATACTAAAAGACTTGGACCTTTTAAGATCACAAGGACTATTGGCAAGAATGCTTTCGAGCTTGCATTACCACCTACTTGGACTATCCATAATGTCTTCCATGCATCTCTCTTGTCTAAGGCACAAGAAAGTTCCTTAAGACCACTTCAGTCTCCTCCACCTCCTGTTCTGATCTTGGATCAACCAGAATATGAAGTAGAGTCTA